GTTTACGCATTTCTGGAATAATTCAACATGATCCATGTCATTTCTATAATGAAAAAAAGGACGACGTAGAGGGCAAATTTTTTTTTGATAATTTCGACATTTTAGACCTCTGATAATTGCCAATCATAAAGTGAGCATAATAAATAAATACCAAACATTACCTGTATTATCAGCTTTAATACAATCCGCAAATGGATCGGACTGACTAGAAGCTACCTCACGTTCACGATGAAAGTAATGCGATTGAAAAAATCTGGCCCAAAATTCTTGCTCTGTCATTTCGTGTGGTACTAGTTCTAGATGCTTCCTTTCTACTGAAATAGAATATGAATTACTTGCTTCATTAAAAACAAATGAAATTAAATACTTAATAGAGCTAGAAAAACCTGCAGGGTAAGTTCGGAATATACTCTGGATTGTATCGATATTGAGATTTAACTTGACTCCATTCGTGCCTTCAGACTGTGCAATGCTGCTCAGAAAGCCACTTGAAACACCCAATTTGCCACCGTCTACATCCTTCTGAATTAAGCATAGCTTGGGGGATGGTAATCCATTCACCAAATTATAATAAATGAATAGCTATTGAAAAATCCATTGCTTTTCTAAGAATAACAAAAAAGCTATGTTTTAAGAACAGGATTTTTTTCAATGTAGATTTAGTACAAGAATATAATGGTAAATTTATATATTCAATGCAAGAAGGTAAGTTAAATTAGACAAAGCTAATTAAATTAGACGGGTCACAAATGGAAACACAACAACATAACGACAGAATTTGACTTTTAGTAAAATTTCGTTCCAAACTAACGTTTTGATAATATTCGCTCCAAAAATCTTGAGCAGATATCAGTTTCGACGCAACCAAATGTTTGTATATTTCTTGCAAATGTTTGTTGCGTTCTAAAATCTTCTTCTTTGCTTCTAGCTCTTTCGTTTTATTGTACTTTAACGATTGTGTAACATTCTAAAAGTAAATATGATGAGCATCGAGTTAATCAGTCAAAAAGCTTCCGGCTGTTGTTTAATCGGATATTAGGAATTTCTAAAAGAAAGTCTATGATTTAAAGTAAACCACAGCATATTTACCTGACTAACAATTTGTCTATGATGTATAAGAGCCTGTTGCAACATTTCTTTTACCAAATCGCGATCTTTAACATGCATCTGAAGAATACATGATACTCTTTTCACATGTAATATGGAAAACCCTCATACAAAAAAGTCTCATGAATCTGACAGATTAAACAAACAACTAATAGACTAATAACGTGCTGATGAATACATTTTAAAGAGACAGAATCATGAAACCATAGATGTTCATACACAGTAGCTGTTAATTCGAATTCCAAGTCTACCATGAATAATAACAAATCAAAACTTGCTTCCTTCCCAAGTGGATTAACGAAAACAAATGTTGCTTGTTCTTCATTATGCTTACATATCTGGAGCTGTGTTTTTGTTTTATTTGGTGGCGATATCCGTTGTCCTGGAATCCAGAAAGCATTTCGTAAACAATGAAAAGGATGAAATACTGAGGTGTTGATAAATAACAAGGAAAATGCATAGTCTACATAAAAAAGCATACCTTGTATTTCAAATTCAATTTCGAAAATTTCCAGAACAAAATTACGCTCTTTGCTTGAGTAAAAAAGGGAAAACTAAAGAAAAAACACTAAAATTTTTAATCCTTTAAAGTAGCAAATTATTTAAATCCCGTAACTTATTCCTTCTGATTTGATCTATCAGCTAACTTTCTTAGCTATTCGAAGTACTTCAATAACGCATCTCCAGTGAAATTCCTACCTCTAATATCGCTGAAAAGGACGACAAGTTTTTCATCCGAAGCGTTATCCAACCATTCAACCCGATCTTCATAAACATAAAAGGTACCAATAGGTGATTTAGAAGCACCTGGCATACGATATTTCACATGTTCGACACGCAACAGTAAATCTTTGTTAGACATGGCTGATATCCTGTCTGATATCCTGAAATCATTGCACAATGAAATTCTCACAAGTTTATAAGAGTATGATTTTACGAACGTAACAAAATACATAGCGCATGAGATAGTGAATAACATGTTGCAAGTGTGAGCAGAAAATACTAACCTACGTAGGAAGAATTGAAGATCTGGAATTAGGCAAGAGAAACACCACGAAATAAAAGGCAGCGGAGGAACTACTGTAAGAAGGAAGTTGATAGACATCAAGGAAGTACAAAGAATCACGGATTAATAGAAAACCAAAACAATTAAATTGTAAAAGTGGCGAAAAAAAAATACTACAAGGGAAACAACTCAAAAAGAGAGAGACAGAACGAGAGTGAGAGTAAAAGATCGGATAAAAAAGACTGTGAAACAAACAGGACACAGCATGACAAAGTATGCGAAATAATACGCTACCAGACATCAAGAGACACGCTGAAATATCGCAATGACAATGATTCTTTGCAGCATTGAGACGCTGTGAAAAATTTAACCTCCCAGTTCACTGTTTTCACACCAAAATTTAAACTAATTTCTCATTGTGGTAATTATTTGGTAACATTTCAGGTTTTGCCCATGATAAATTAAGATGGATTAACTTGATTTCCATTTTGTATATTTACACAGACTGAGAATGGTCGTTTTATTTGCTTAATTCGTTGGTATTTCATCACTTAAATTAATTGTTGGTAAATTAATTGGCAGATTGAAATTGGCAATTTTTGCAGAGCTTGTTGTTTAATATTGATTCTTCGAAATATTTAATTTGTTTTTCTATTTAGCACATTCAAAATTTAACTTGTGTATGGGATGCTAGATTAGATCATGGTTACGATTAATAAATTTTAGTTATAATTTCTAATTTAAAAAAAAAAAAAAAAAAACCGTACTCCAAAAAGTCGAAATTTCTACATATCACAAAGTTAATTTTTAAAAAAGATATTTTAATAAGCAGTCTAATTCACAAACTTTATTGAGGAGAGAAGGACGATAACTGTCGACAGATCCTGTTGATTCTCTCTTACACTGAAAGGTATCAATACAATTCCTTTAAAAGTGTTCACCAGTCATACATCTTTTTCAGGATTTTTTTAAAATTTCAAATTAGTATTTTAAATCTACATCTTTTCTTTCCCGTCTAGTTTAATTCCCTTTTATTTTATCACTGAAATTAAAAACAAGAATTATGAGTAAAAAAAGTAATTATTTGTGAATAATAAGGCTTGGTTTAGTTGCTTCATATCTTTCATTCCATTAAAAATTACTTTCTTTTTTTTTGAAATGTTAATAACTGTTAAAGTTAGCTTTACACTTCTAGAATTCCAGGTTTTTGACAAAAGAGAGGAGATTCAAACAAATAATGTCTTCCAGAAAACAATAAACTAAAAGAGCTCATAAGCTATCCGATGAATCCAATAAGAGCGCATTTGTTAAGGATACAATATTCTCAGCTCACTGTCTTGTATGAATCTTAAATGCTTAATATATTACATCTTCATTAGAAAATTTTTGCGTGATCTCTTTGTTGTGCTTCTTTACGTACGTAACATTATCACATCGTTTGATCAATGTATGACATGGGATGCCATTAGTCTTTTTTTTTTTTTTTTTTTTTTATTAGCTTCTATCACTGATTAATTATGATTGCTTAGACTTGTTGATAAAACTAATAGAAGTTCTAATTAATATGAGGAGATCTGAAGTAGAGGAGAAAATATTAACCATTAAACTAATTCTGGATAATAATTTTCCGTAAAGTTTGGAATGATAATTGGAAACAAATAGAAGCGCTATCAAAAAAAAAAAAAACCATTTGTCCAAGAAAAAAGAGGAAAACTACCTTTAATTTTGTTGCATACTATTGGCTTATTTAATTGTCGTACAGGTGGAAAATTCAGCAGATAACATTGAGGCAATGATAAAACTACTTAAATGTAATCAAATATCAGCAATAGAAATGGATGCATCTGAGGAAATGTTATACTATTTTCCATTATTTGCCATTAAGTCAGGAAATACCGTTCATGTTTGATTTACATTCTTCTTTTTTTTTTAACTTCTTCTTTTAATTTATTAATAAGTTTTGCGATAATTTTCAGTCTATGGAGTATATTTTTACCTACCAGCCTGCATTCATATCATTATCATAAAATTCTTTTACAACATTTTTAATAATTAATTAAGATTTGCTTAAAATTAACTGATATACAATTTGACTCATTAATTTGACACCGAGTATTAATGTTACATCGTAAATTTTTGACATTATTTTATCCTGTAGCCTTCAGATAATGTACTTCTTATATGGAAAACATAGCAGAATCTGAATGAAGAGACCTCGAATGATCTCGAACAGTGCATGCATATCGTGTTTATCTCTTCAAAAATGAGACTATTCTCTTTTTCTTCATGGAATTAAAAATTTGACTTCATATTAGGCCTCTAAATTTCAAAACAAGACGAAGTAATTTTATTACTTTGTTTTGTTTTGACAATGCAGGGATTAAAAATACTATTCAAAATCAATTTACTTTGATATTGCTCAAATAGATTTTTTTCAGCTATAGAAAAAAATAAGAAATTATCGGAAAGACAAATTCATCATCAGAAGATAGCAATGAATATTCCCTTTTCTTTTTTTTTTTTTTTTTTTTTGATTAGAAATTTAATTTTTCAAAAAAAAATTTGCAGTTTTGAATTTAGATTCTCTTAATTTTTCGATTTCATTGTCAAGAGTGATATAAAAGAACTCTAGAAAATTTAGGGCAATAAATCGAAATTATATTGAGTAACTTTTAAAAGTATTTGGATCAGTGTCGGTCGTTCTCGTTATTTCAGGTTGAACAGTCGAAAGATTGTGAGTTCCTTAATATTATTTCTTATAAAAGGTGTGTTCCTTTCAAACTTTTTTCTTCTCCCAAAATTACAGAAAATTTTTAGTTTAATTTCAGATTTTGCTGTTTGATCACATCTTAGGAACTCATTAACAGTGGATTCGCACAGAAAATTAATGGTTTGTTCTTAAAAACCAATTTAAAAGATCATTTATGCGGTCAATAGGTTTTTTAAAAAACAGTGAATAGGATTTTTTTTATCATATTTGTATTATTGAAGTGTACATTTGTTTTTCTTTACTTTGAAATTTGGAGTAGTAATTTCTTTTGAATAACTTAAATACTTCTGTAAAAATCAATAGAATTATAACTTTGTTCTAGAAAAATGACGCAAAATAATTAGTTATATACAATGAAAATTGCTTCTATTATTATTTTCATTCTCGTAAAAAATGATTTGTTGTCGCCGACGCTTGAAATGCGTGAATAGTTAATGAGTTAATAAGCAATCCCAATACTGTTTTCAATAACATATGATGCAAATTTTATGAGAATTTTTAATTTATACGACAAATTCAGTTGAATGCAGAATTTAATTAGCCGATTTTGTTTCTTATCTGTCTTTTTCAACCCAGTAGATAATTAATTAATTGACTATCCATCCATTCATATAATTGCGAATGAGTCATTGAAGGCTAAGCAACAAAATGCATTGCCAAAACTGCCGAAAATCACCGACGCAAAAGAAAGTATATTGTCGAATATGAAAGGTAAAATGGAAAGAGCAAGTGTATTCCTTGTTAATCTCTGTAGAAGCATTTGAATAATTTTTCTTGGCATTATTAGTATAACAAATCTATTTGAGAATAAATAATAAGTAATTATAAGATAATAAGTATTTATAATAATCAGTAATTATAAGATTAAAAAAATTTGTGCATTTTTTGAGTTGATCTCTCGTTTGCTCTACATTGATGCAATTAATAACTTTTTTTTTAACACTCCATCTGTCATTATCCAGTTGATTACAAATAAGTTATTACTTATCTAAATGTTAACTCCATAAAAATTTACAAATAAAATTCTCATATCTTACTGATAATTACCGTAATTTACAACTAGAAACAGTTTTATAAAGAATGGCTTATTCTACGATTTAAAGCAGTAAATAATTTAGTTAATAATGAAAATGAGGTCTATTTTCTGCAGAGCCCATACGAGTTCATACAGTGATGCGCGTGAATCAAACACGTAAAGGTGAAACGTATTTGGAACACAAAATTGAGCTCCTGGGGAATGATGGAAAAATTCAAAAACGTGATCTTACGTTACTGCAACCAAAAAGAATGCATTTGCAGCCAGCTGAAGTGAGTTAGTGGTTGATTTATTTAATTGAAGTTGACATGGAGAAATATTTATTTCAAATAATTATTTTCTTTAAATTACAATACTGAGAGTGATTGCTGGGTGCATAAATAGAGTGATAAAGTGCTGGGTGCATAAATAAAATGAAGTGAAAAAAGGTAAGCAAATAAATGAAAACAAATTTGTATTGAATATTTTAAGTAAATAGAATAAGCTTATTTTGAATCTCATATAATGAAGTTTTATCAAATAAAACTTTTTAGTTAAGTAATCAATTATTCTATGCTAACATATGATGAGAAATAGAAACGTTTAACATTAAAGTTTAACATTATGTCAAATATTTTGAAGAGTGATAAAAAATATCATCGACCAAAATGTAAGTTAACTTTATATGCTTGTGATGGATATTTACTCCTGACTAGAATGATGAAGATAACACTGGAAGATAAAAATATCGCTATGAACATTATGCACGAAGAAACTAGAATTTATGATAGTGATAATGTCAATGTCAGTAGCGGTATTTTATATTTTATTATTTAAAATTGTTTTCCTTTTTTTTAAAAAAAAAAAAAAAAAAAACAGTTATTACATAAAATAGTTTGTTTATATCTTTCACTTCTGCAGATTTCCAAAAATACTTCTTAGAAGAGACAGTAAGATTTGAATGCATTTAGATAAATGAACAGAAGAATGTGCTTTTAATATTTTTAATGAAATGTAAATGAACACAAGATTTGGACCATCGCAAAATTGCAGATTGCATAAAGAAAATTGATCTCATTTTAGTATTTTTTTTAGTAATTTATTATAAAATACCGTTAGCTTTGGTACCGGAAGCTACCAGTACTATGAGAAAGACAAGGAAAACAAAAGCAATCCAGAAATTTTGTCATTCAACTTGCAAAACGATATAATAGGACAATACTAACAAAAGACGCGATTATAAAATAATTGATTTGATCGAATTAAGATGCAGGAAAAGTAGCAAAGAGCCAAATAAAGTAATAGATGAAAACATTATAAAATTATTAATAAAATCCCTTACTGTTTCTTGCCTTACCGGAATGTTTTCTGTTCTCACTCCATTTATACTTACTTTACTTCTCGACTTTTCAAAACTTGGACATTTCTAATTTGATTTTAGCTTTAACTCTTAAAAGAGAAATGATACATATCAATGAATGAGAAGGCGAAAAATTATTTCCATTCAAACTATTTCATATATGCAGAATTACCGTAAAGTGACTATAATGAAAATGCAGCATAGCATTACTGGAAATATATACTTATCAGATATTAACTGCAACCTCTAATGGTCACCACAACAAGAAAGACATGAAATCAGCTGAAACTAATATTTGCAACTTCAAACAATTAGTTGATTATGGTGAAGGATTATTAACCATCGAAACTATTTTAGATTTATTAGCAGTGACGAAATTAAAGGTTTCAGTTATAGCCTAATTCTGGAATTTTAAATGAACTATAATATGTATGATAATTCATTATGTATTCTTCAGAAATTATACATATTAAACTCAGATTTTGCTTTTCTATATAAATATTTACAATTATAAATGAGGACATAAAAAAAATTCAGAATGTTTAAATTTCTCTATTTTTCTGGACAAATCATACGCATGGCATGAAATGCGTGATTATAGCACTGGTATTTGTGAAAGCTATCCGGGATCCTTATTTTCCAGGTTAAACTTTTCAGTTCCAAAATGATATCATATCAAAAGTGTCTAACTCATGAAATTTTTTCTTCTCATCGATATGACCCCAGCTATTTCATTGTTTAAAATGCTCATGAGTAAAGCTATGATATATTTATCAAATCTTTTAAACATTGTTTCAAATTCTGGTCAGTGATGGTATGCTATTTCAATGGAAGAAAGCACTTAAATTCATAGTTTCACATCTAAATTCATCGAAGGAAAGCAATTGTAGTGCAGCTTATATATAAGTACTTTTAATTATCAAATTATGTAGATTTTTGTCATCACCCATCTCTTTACCTTCAACATATAAGAAATGACGAAATTGAGTAATTAAACCGAATTTGGTGAAATGTCCATATTTAATTTCCTTACATCTAAATTTTTAGTTATTTTCCACCATCATGGAAGCTACCAGAACAGTTAAAAGTCACAGCACCACAACAAGCAAATTTGAAAAGCGATAGGCGAAATGATAATTCCCCTCCAAAATCCGGTTAGAGATGTTTGTTCCCATAAATCTACTGCATTTTAAGATCTGAGAACTGTTTAGTAATAGAAAAACAGTCAGGTTTGGATTTAAAGGTATATTATAATGAGACGACGATGTTGGCATTAACAACAATACTAATAATGCAAGCCTTAGATTTTGAGGCTTGTATTATTAGAAAAAGCAATCTACAGAAGCAGTTTTTATCTTCCTTTCATTTTCATTATAATTTTATAAAGAAGCTGGTATAAAATACAGCTATTATTTTACAACAACTGCACACCGTTTTCATTGCTATCCTATTTCATTCACCAAATTTGTGCTTGTAGAAATCAAATAATGTGACAAAAATAATTGTTTTGTAATGTGATTTTGTTTTTCTATGAATTTTATGAGTCCTAAATTTCAAACCTTAAAATCTCATTTGATATCTCGTTAATTTGCAGGATTAAGTGACACATCAATTGGTGGTGGTAGCGAATCAGATGGTAAGTATTCCACGAAATTGTAATAACATCAAAAAAGCTATCACTAACGATATTATTCTGAATGATATTGCAGATCATTCACCATATCTGCCTGTGAACCATGATTCCAGGTTGCTTCTTTTCTGTTTTACTTTACGTTTCTTCTGAATGTGCTATTAACTTAGTATTCAGAGTAATCAAGCAATACATACGAAACTGATTTTGTTTTAGCTCAGATAAAGGCATTCATGAAAGTAATCCACCCACTGCTGTTTGTAAAGCTTCACTAGTGAACATTGCTGCTTCACCTAAAAATGGTATTTTTGTATTAATTGTACAAATCATTTTAGAATCGCTCTTTAATTCTGTAAGAAATAAGTGCTTTTAAACATTTTTTACTCTTAGAAAGCCCTACAATAGTGCTTCAATTTATAGCGTAATTTCTGCTTCATCATTATCAGGACTGGTATATTTTCATTCTGCTTATTTTACCCCTTTGAAATTCTATTCTTATTTTATCCTTTTGTTTCGTAATTGCTATTTACATGAAGTTTTTCTTTCTACCGAATGTTTTTTTTTTTTTTCTTGATCTCTGAAATCACCATTTATTTCAAAAGAGACCTTATTTTTTAGGCTTGTTGCGCTCACATGAATATCCAGATGACATCTGCTGCCTCAAATCAGCCAACATCTGGAGCAAGCTATCACTAAAATTGCCAGAAATCATGTCCTTTTTATAAAGATATTTGTATGATTGCAAAATAGTTATGTTGTTTAATTTAATTATGGTCAAAAGGAATGTGTATCTTTTTTGAAATCAAATGAAGATAAGGAAAAGTTACGAAAGTTATGGCAAATAACAAATATTAGAGGAATGTATAAGTGTTTTTCAAGAAATTTTTTAAGCAAGATTTTCAATTTTACCTCAGAAGGTTTCAATAAGTTCGAACATTCTAAGTCAAAATTTAAAACTAAATTTGATAAGTTATATTTTAGGACAGTGAAAAAACCAGGGCCAGAGCCACTTAAAATCATTTGAATCTCTAAGGTGTATTTTTCATACATCAGATGAAAGCACCCAATTAGATTTTAGCACAGAGATGATTTCGCCAAAGGCACTGCCAGTGAGTTCTACGGAATAATGAATTCTTCGAAATGTTATGTGCACATGACAATATAAAATGTAATGATTGGTAACTGATGGCTAGTTTTTCCTTTTGCTAAAAAGATTATTTGTGCATCAATAATTAGCTTTCATCACTTTTTTTCTTTGTTCTCTTATATTTTGCAGATGGCCAATGAAGAATCTGGAAATGATACAAATAAAATTACCATTTTCTTATCCACAAACATGGATTAAATGTAGTTTATATCATTTAATAACTTTTTTCTAAGCGTCTGTTTCATTGCTGCGAATCATTGACAACTTCTGGCACACAAAAAATCTAAACTCATGCTTGCTTATTTTATTCTTGAGTGAATTTTCGAGAAAGTGCAATTTATCTGATGGACATTTATTAATGATAGATATGGTAAAACCATTTGATATTAGCAATTCATATTATTTGCAGGTGGCAGTAACAGCTGATATTAGCATGAAGCTTATCAATGAAGATGGGTCAAAAAAATGAATTAAATGCATTAAAAAGCAAAAAATTTGTTTTGATAACCAAGTTTTTTATGAAGATTGACTTTTTGCAAATTTTCAAATTTTGTATTTTTTCTAACAATCAAGAAAAAAAAAAGAGCAGAAAACAGCATTAATACAGTAGCATTAATCAATTAAACTGTCAAACACTACTGGAAGTGGAAATGACAAGAAAGTGACTGTTATGATTCCATTTACTAAAAATCAATAGAATTTTTAAAGGTTTCAATGAAATCAAATTTGATTAAATCAACAATTCATTTCAAATCCTGTCACATTAACAATATACCATTTCTATGTAATCATTGTTTCGTTCAACTCATTGATCAGATTGCTGTAGAACTGAGTCAGATTAAAATTCATAATATTCATAGATACTCATTATCAATGCAATGGGTACTGATTGATGTATGTATGGTAATATTTGCATTTATTTATATTGATTATAGAAAATGACACTTTGCAGACTCTCCGATTGCTATTAATCATCCACACTCATTCTGTTATTTTCTTCCTTGTCACATTCAAATGCTCTTTTTGTTTCCATTTTGCTGCTGTATTTACTTACCAGATTAATTAAATTTTGTATGTAGTTCTTAGATGAATTATGGGAATTTTGAGACGTCGTTGTCAGTTAAAAACTTCAACCATCTCTCATATTGTTTATTAGCGGTATGGAGAGATGTTCAAAGGAAAGTAATTCGAATTACAGCTAACTTGATAAATAAATTGGTTCGATGGTACTCTAGATTAGATGTATGTGTTCAAAGGAAAGTAATTCGAATTACAGCTAACTTGATAAATAAATTGGTTCGATGGTACTCTAGATTAGATGTATGTCGTCCTGCAAACTATTCAGAAATAAAGACTTTTTTTTTTTTATTTCAAGAAAACTAGAAAAATTTTTGTCCATATCTGTCTCTCAATGCTGCTACAAACACCTGTCATTTTAAAATTTCTACTGGTGAAAATTTCTTTCGCCCGCCGAAATTTTGCAGACAACTTTTAGAAAATTTTGGTTTTACGTTATATGCTTTACTTTATCATTTTCTTATTAGAACTAACATTTCATCTTTGCTGTTTTGTTTTTTTCCAATTTAATGCAAATTTTATTGAAGTGAGTATTTTCTGATTCCTAAATTAAATTTTTTTCCAAAAAAAAAAAGATCATTTTCATCCAAATATAGTTTATAAATGGCTTCATCCCAAAATTTCTTTATTTTATGTTTGTTACTACTAGTAGTGTTCCTAGAATTTATGGTAATTATATCAATTCATGATTTTTAATAACATTGGCTCAAATAGATAGAATTAGCACCTGACCAAGCTGATATATGCGATGAAGTGTATTTCTCTATACAACAATGACATATCTAATGGTTTGCTTATGCCTGTCTGTTTCTATCCATCTGTGGCTCAATCCAAATTTGCGGTCATAATCATGACTAACTAAATTGCATCTTTTATACCCGTTACTTCTGCACAATATTTATTTCAAGTCACTTTTGCAAATTGCATTTTTACTATCATAAATTCTATGGACCCTTTTATTTGCATCATTTGCATGGTATGTTTACAGCGATATCAAAGAATAATCATATGTGATTGCTAATTGAGAATTTCGTTGACATCAATTAACTTCGCCGACTTTATCTTTCCTTTTCTTTTTCAATAAGGAAGTAACTATGTGCATGATAAATTTGTAATATATATCAACAATAAATTATTTATGAATACTATAATAAAATTTTGAATGAAAAAGTTAACGTCCACTTTACAAATTTTGGTAGCTACTGAAAATTAGAAATTTTGATAATTGTTCACAAAGAGCACTTTACAAAATAAGAGTTATTCATTTAGAGAAACCATCTTCCCATCCAATTTATTATTCTCTTTTCCTTCTCCTTTTCGTATTTGTTTATTTCTTGATGTAGGCGAAAAACTTTCATAAACCGATTAATCATGCCATTTGTATTGATATTTGAAGTTTTATAATCAAACAAGAATTCTACACTGCTGCTTATTAAGTTTAAACTGCTTTCATAAGTAGCTTTTTAATACTAAAATGACTGTGGAAATTTTTGCCAACTTTCAGCAGTTCTTGCTTGCTTATTCGAAATTATGCGATTTTGAAACTCTTCATATTTCTGCTGACTTTGTAAGGTAATCAGAAGTTATTCCGATCGAGGAAATTTTCAACTTGAACCTAAACTAATTTCATCCCAAGCTGATATTCCAAGTTGTGCCGATTAATTCACAAAACTCAAATATGAAGCTATTTTTAATTTTGGTGGTTATTTAATTAGATAATAAACTAGTAGTTTTCGGGTAGTTAATTAAATTTGATGCAACAAGAAAAAGTTCAATAACATACATGGTTGAAGGAATGACTCTTGAATAGTGCACTGCTGTACTTGCACATCACCGCATTGTAGTTATGATTGCGCTCCTCATCCTTCGGGAGAACACCTCTGAATTTGGGTCGTTTTGGCGGATGCTGCACTTCCACTTCTCTCCTAGCCACTTTCCGTTCCTACTCTGTTTGATCTTTTCGTATGGTTGTGATCTTATTTCCATCTTTACCTCCTGTTGTTCTTCCGCTCTACTGCACCATGCCGTTTCATTTTATGGAACTAAAAATATTCCAAGAGGATGATGACAAGAAAGAAGAGATAATATGATTTGATCGACTTTAGTGATAGGTCAAATTAGTTACGGGGATTTCCGCATTTCCGAATTTTCAAATATTCGCGACATTGATTTCATTCTTCTCATCCGGTTTGTGCATATTCTTTTGTTTGAGATGATCAAATTTCAGTTTTCTCCAGTCTATCATGAGTTAAATTTCATTTTTTTTCAACTGTAATTTATCCTTTCTGCTGTAAATACTAAGCATATCACGTAGAACAAAGGAATAAATATCACACGAATGAAGAATTATTGTATCTTTTATTATTTTTCAAAAATTATCAGGAAGGATGGGTGAAATCTAAATTATTTCCGTCAATAATTCAAAATACAATCCTTTATTTTTCTATTTGTGATTTGTTCTTTGTTCTTTTTTTGTTCGAATTTTAATCCAATTAAAATATTCTACTTCTCAAATCAATGCTATTGAATTATATTGTAATATTAATCTGAATTGAATGAATAATTTCGTAATCACAGATACTGAAAAATACTGAAGAAAGTAAAGAAAACAAATTTAACAAAAAGTAGAAAAAGAGAACTTTCGTGGGTTTTTGTTCACAGATTGGTGTATTTTTGTTAGTTCGTAAATTACTCAGCGCAAAAGCATCTTAGACTGATACCTTCTGCGCTTTTCTCTGCATTCAACTGCAGCAAGTACCGCCTAGCAACAGCATTTCAGCATAAAGCATCATCACTACAGACGACAACAAGACACAACGATTGTAAGGGTATCAGCAATACCCTTCGTAACAGTTTTTCGTATGTGTTCCCCTTAACTGTCTCTCTTTTTGCTTGCAAGTTTCCAACAGATCAATCCACTTATATTTGATTATATGAGTATTTAAAGTTAACATTTTGATAAATAAACTACCCTTCAACTGTTCCGTCAGAAATTTCTGTCAGATTCATTGAGCAGTGAAAAGAAATATCTCGGAAGACGTTTCATGCTTGAACTAATTTGAAATTAAAAAATTTTCAAATTCTTTTTAAAAATTTCTATAATTTCGACTTTAATTTATTTAAGGATGCTAGCATGCATATATATATAAGTCCTGAAGCTGAACTTTAAAACTCGAATTGTTTGTTGGACTGATATTTCAAACATGATTTTTAAAAAGAACTTGCTTCACTTGACCTAAAATGGATTCTGTTTTTATTTACAAACTTTTCGCGACGTACATCACTCACCATTGTGCACACAACAGAATTCATAGAAAAAATTTTTGCCCATACCTGTGTATGCTGCAAATGAAATGTAAAGTGAAGTTCGGTCCTTTAAATCATAACATTGTTTACCAAAATGAACATCAGCGGGAATTGATTTGTTTTCCATCAACGATTTGATTGTTAGTTATTATTTGGTACATCTTTTTCTTCCAAGATTACTAATATCGGTAGTGAATGATCAACTTTTCTTTAATTCATCAGCTGATCAGACTATTGTTCCCATTACCTAATTAATTATACTCATCAAGGAAACATTTTATAATGGTTGGGAATAGTTGCTTTTTTTGCAAAAATTAGCAATTACTTTGTCCAATGAAAATGATATGTTAAGTAAGGTTAGATAATACACATATATCAAGCATATACATTAGGAAACTTATATCAGACTGTACAAGTAAAAAATGTTATGCACTTTCTTTTCTCTTTGAAATTTGAACACTTGCATTACGACAGGTGTAAAAAGGTTGATAATATAAGCAAACAATGATGGTATAAGCAGTAGAATGATCATTTTAGACATATGATGGGAGGATAGATATATATGCTATTAATGAACGGCCTAGTAAGTAAACTTACCTAGGAAAGAGACGGGATTGTTCTTAAGAAAATCTATTTGGTGCCTTCTCATATTCTATTAATATTAGACATTCATCATTAGTGGAAATGACAAAATAGGAATCAGAATTCAATATTTGCTCTTTTTGACCATTAATCGGTTTTTCGTATTTCCTTCGCAAATTAAAAGTGGAAAAGTTAGATATCCAATGCAGTGTTTCATTCCTATCTATTACTGTTATTGTAAAATATAATATTTCATTTTCTTGGATTACCAAATCGAGAATCTTAGTACATTACAGTTCGGGCATGATCATAACTTGAGGGTTGGTAAGTATCATTTAATTGAGCATAGTAAGCAAAGGAATAAAAGTTAACAAGATTAATGTGCTTTCTATTTGAAAACTTTTCAAATAATTAATTTCATTTATAACATAATGATTAGCATTTTTTGAGGAAAACTTCAAGAATCTTATAGAATTCTCGATGTGATAATCCAAGGAAATGAAATATTCTATGAGAGCGATATCAAGTCACTTTAGATGAACGTCTTTTCTAGATAGATTTGGTCGATTTTTATAGTTTGTTTTTGTATTTCTATGTTAATATTTATGAAAAGATATAAGTGACCGAATATATGAGTTTTCAGTATTTTGTAGAAAATATGCTTTTACATCCTTTCTTTTGCGGTGTAAAATATCTTTTTACACTACGGATTGTTGAGAAAAAAATAACAGTCATAGACAATATCACATTTGAATTGAATTAGTATTTTTTAATTTTACTATAGTAATAATGTCAGTATAATTTGTCAGTTGAGTAATGCAACATTTACCGTCAGTGATAAATCAAATTTTCGAGATTAGTTTTTAGTTGCTTGATGCGGAATGCTCTTCTCGCCATTTTCATATGCTTAATCTTGATATCTTACACATATTTAGGATAACCAATGATTGCGATTTTTCATAATTTGTAATGAAAAAGAATTATATGCAACAGTTAAATTCATTTTCAGAGTGCTTCTTGACAGCAGTGGATGGGTGAAACTGAAAGACCGGTGCGGAAAAGCACACCTCCACCTCCGTATAGCCCCGAAAGACCACCACCACCCTATTCGAAGATGATTAATGTAAGACTGGACGATTTAAATGCAAACGAAATCAAAGCAAAAGAAGAAATGACTTGTAATGCGCTTCATCTTCCATGTACACCGTTTTCTAACGGATCCATTACCTCTGTTGTTCATCCACGGCTGGTTTCAGCTCCTATTAACACTTCAGAAGGTATCAATCCAGCTTCCGGTAAGTCAGTTCAAATTATAGAAATTTCAAAAATAACACAGATCTGTAAGATTGTTGAGAGATAATTAAAAAACTCATTTTCTTACTATAAATTTTAAAAGTGTTCCATTTTGAAGGGTGAAATTCTCATAATATACTTCTTTTGAATTTCAAGAAAAACAACTTAAACTAGTTTAGCTTTTTGCAATATCATGTAATTGGTTAAGGCAAATTTAGTATGAATTCAATCACCTCACTGTAGTGTTGTTTGATTGATTTTCAAGGATAATTTATATATGAATATATAGAGAATATATTCCGTGACATGAGACTTTTTTTGTTGGGCAAGAAGAATTATGGAAGAGAATTTGATGCGGAGAGTTCACTAATAAATAAGAGAAATAGACATAGTGCTTCAATTAAGTCATTAGAATTTTATTGATGAAGTAAATTTTTTCAGGACCAAGTAATGCAGCATTTGCGATCGCCAATTATACTGTTAAGAAGGCAATAACTGCGGAGCCACATGACGAATTTTGTCCCAGGTGTCAGGTATTGGCTTGAAAGGATTTTTATTTTTAGTACATTTAGACTAAATTCAAAGTTGATTAAATATCATTTTTTTAAATTTGCATTTCAAAACTAAGGAAACTAAAAACAATGTCAAGATGATATGATTCATTGTCCATAAGATAATCTCTGAAAACACTGAGTTAACTTATATATCATTACCTTTAGCTGATAAACTGACAATTCAGAACTAAACCTGATACAGTTTAACTTCAATTTAGGAAATTTATTTTGAATTTTTAGAATTTTTTTCAAATTTTTCAAATTTGAATTTTTTTCAAATTACTTTATATTGGTTTCTATTTCTTACTTTATTAAGTACAAATGGTAACAGTTTCATTAGTGTTTGTTCAAAGCTATGAATTGTAAAGTTCAATTACAGTGTCGAATACGTACCAAGCAAAGCCATAAATCGGGTCGTCTCACATGGTTACTTGTATTTATTATCCTTATTTTATTTTTTCCAATAGCATTTGTACCATTTCTAATTGATTCCTGTAAAGATGTATGCCATTATTGTCCTAAATGTAATATGTTATTGTCCGTTAAGAAACGATTCTTCTTCTGATAGCTTTGCTGTTGCGAACCATACAAAAGGAAATTTCATTCGAAGATATTCCAAAAAAGTGCAGGAACTTTTTAATCAGCTTACTTTATGAAAGCTCATTATAAATTCTATCCAAATTTTAACCGTTTTTTTTTTTTTTTTTTTTTTTTGGTAAGCCAGTGTTAATTTGTTTGAATTTTCTAGGTATTTGATAAAATGGTCTAAAAACTGGCTTTTCCATGTAAATATTTGTTTTTATTTTCATTTTACAAAAATATGCCTCAACTAGTTTGTTTACGATGATGCCATATCTGTGTACATTTGTTTGTATGTGTCAATTTTTCTCATTACTTCCACCACTCAGTTCTCTTCCCTAATCACATCTTATCAATTAACTAATGCAGGTATCAACCATTAAATTTTATATAATTTAATAGAATTTTCTATTAATCTAAATCATAGAATTTTCTGCTACATTCTTTTCTATCATTTTTAAAGAAAAACAGTAGAGCTTATTTTGGTAAGAAATGGGATTTCTGACCTTCATTCCATCATTCTCCAACGAACACCAGTTACAATAAAACTGTTAAATGCTATTAAAACAAATTTATTACATGTGGGAGTAAAATGTAATATTAAAATGGAATGTAAAGATAAGTATTCAACACAATTATTATGACATAAAAACATAAAAGAAATATCGAAAATTGCTTATTGACTGAAGCGACTGATATTTGGATTTCTGGAATTAGTTTTTCCAAGAATTTAAAAAACTTAAGATTCTCAAAAACTATTCATTTCTCCATGGTATGCAACAAATATATAAATATAGAGCTGAAATCTGAATTTAAAAAATGGAACAACTGCTAACATACGAAGTTACTATCACATCTGATTTGTCACCTTTTGTTGTTCATCAAATTGGTTTGATTATTCTCAATTTTTTGCTAAAAAAGTAGGTTTCGGAAAAATTCGGCATGACTTATTGTATAATAAATAAATAAATTATATGTAGAAAGTGTGAACAAAGATAAGGTAAAAAGCGAAATTGCAGATACACTTGCATTGAGCAAACTGTTCAGGAAAAATCCGTAAGAAATATTACAAGTTGCAGCGATATTTACACTATTCTATTGTAAGCAAGATTTGAATAATTTTTCCACTTGTTCACAACTTTCTTCAGGGAAATAGATTTTAGCAATTGGACAGTTCATATGAATCCATTCAATGGCGTCGTTGATATCGAACACTCTCACAAATTTTCGAATCACAGAACATTGTGTTGAGAGCACCAAATCTTCTTCAGCTTTCTGAAATGGAGTTATGGACAAACTCTCTAGCAAAAAGTGTAATAAAGAATATATAGGATAACGATCAATAATTCATATCCAAAACATCAAAATATTGTTGATCTACTGCTTCATTCCTTAGAAATAATCAAGAATTTTTTTCTCAAAAATAGATCAAATTAGTAGATTGTTGTGTACCGAAAATATGGATAATACGAAAGGAGTAGGAACTCCATTATATATGTGTTAGCCATCTCTTATTAACTAATAGTAAAAATCCCTTAGAATGAATCAATAAATACTTGAAGGTTTTTTGTAAATAGTAAACAACGAGTAACATCCCTCATTCAATCTTACCACTTCATATGACTAAAATTATCCTCTGATGGACTACAAATTTCAATGTTTTGCTTATAACCTGAAACTTCAAGTTTCAGACTATCGTCCAGCTAATTATAGCTATGATGACATGACTACTAAAACGTGAGTACTAAATTTGTTACAGGGATTAGAGTCGCCAACGGACTGCCAAGGGTAGGTGTGATCATGCGATGTCTCATGTTGGCATTCATCATCCGCTCTTCTCGTTCAAGCTGTTCACGATGTTGCCTTTCATTTTCGATAAGTTGTTCCAATTTTTGAGCTATTTGATCCTGTCGTTCCAGTTGAGCCTTATCAGCAAAACCATGGTTAAGTTCTTGCTTCTTTCTCAGTTCCGCTTGTTCTTCACGTAGAAGACGTGCCTGAACAAATATGATTAACTTATTTGCTACCTTAGCTTTCCAGATCTTTTCCCAAAACCTAAATAGCAATGATAAAACAACCCACTTCTTCCAAACGAGCCTTTTCTTCCATTAGTCTGGTATACACCGTCCCATTAATTACTCTGTCTTCCTCCTCTTCCTTTTCTTTTTTCGATTTTACCTCTATTTCTCCCTGTTCATCACGTTTTCCATTTTCCATTCTCACAAGCGCCTCATGCATCTGTTCCTCCAACATCTTCCTTCGCATTTCCGAAGGATTGTTTGTTATTCTACAATTCTCACCATCAAAACAATTTTATATTTTTGAAAATTAATCCTAAAACTTCTCATTGTTTTTTTTTTTTCATATCAGAATCTTTAAAAGTTGAAATTTCATAAAATTCTCCGATCCTGATGTATTTTACTCATCCGAAATGTGAATTTGTGGCTTCTGACAGAATGCATTTATGATTCCTTCCAGAAAATAAAATTGACATGACAAATCGTCTCGATAACTTATGCAAAAATAGTTTTGTTTTTTAAATCTCTTTCATTTTATTTCCTTTTTTACTAGTTAGTGAGTGAAATGAAGCTTACAATTTTCGATTCCTGATTAAATTTTCTGTTTGCCTTAAAGCGGATTTTCGCCAACTGTTTTCGACAATCTTCTTACTTTCCACATTGGTGTGACTGCTGAGTTCGCGGAATTTTAAACCTATCGTAGATTCAGTGCCATTCAAATTCATTTCGTTTTCCAATTTTCCATGATTTTTGGTACTATTATCAACGTCCAAACTAGCAGAAAGCAGCTTTTCCATTTCTTTTTCATTGTCCATAGGTTGATCAATATGTTCATGTCCATTTTTTCCTTTATCACTGCTAAATATGTTTGTAATATCCGCCTAAAAAAAATTTCAACATTTCATTTTCCATATCTTTGAAATGTTCTGACGATCACATCATTGTTTAAACTTCAGGCTGTTCAAATGAAAACTTTATGTATACAGAATTTTAGTTCCAACCAATAGTAATTGCATCAGAATTACCAATCATGTTCTCTTAGATGGAAAGTTTAAGTAAAATGATCAGCATTGCTAGCTTTTTCATATCTTTTAAATTTAAAGCAATTTTTTGCTGAAATTAATAAAGAAAAATGAATTTCATTTTTTATTCTAAATTTTAGCAGTCTAGTGGAATAATCTCAAAAATTATAATTTACCTTTCGATTTTTGCGATTTCCTCGCCCTTGTGCACCTGCCATTTTCGCCCTTAACTGCGCTGCCTTTCTTATATTCCTTTCAAAATCTTGCAAATGCTTACGCAATAGTTCCAATGATTTCATTGCTTCCAGCCAACCTTGTTTAATTTCGTCAACTAGCTCAGTAACAGCACTCGTTTCTTCTATGCTCGAACTTGTAGCTTCAACCACAGAAACATTAGGTGTCGACGTCGAGAAACGAGTACGAATATAAATATCACTAGAATCCGTTTTGTTTGCAATATCAAGGCGTTTATCTTCGAATTTCACCTGTTTAGAAGCAATTTCAGATGATGAAAGTATTTCTTCTGTAACATATCGGCTCTCTGTTTCATATGGAACCTCAGGCCTTTTCATTAGTACAGGCGAAGATGATGTTTCCAGCATCGAATGTGTTGTAACTGATATACCGAGACCAACATATTTGGTGCGGGCTGGAGGCAATTTCTGGATTTCTTCGTCCATCACTGTCGTTTCTCCTCTTTCTAGGAGTTTCTTATATTCCAAGCCCTCTTCTTCTTTTTCTTCTTCAAGCTTTTCTTCATCGAGTTTTTCATGCGGTACCTCAGGTTTCTTAATCAGTACAGATGGCAAAGATGATGTTTCCAGCATCGAAAGTGGTGTAACTGATATACCGAGACCAACATGTTTGGTGCGGGCTGAAGGCAATTTCTGGATTTCTTCGTCCATCACTGTCGTTTCTCCTCTTTCTAGGAGTTTCTTATATTCCAAGCCCTCTTCTTCTTTTTCTTCTTCAAGCTTTTCTTCATCGAGTTTTTCATGCGGTACCTCAGGTTTCTTAATCAGTACAGATGGCAAAGATGATGTTTCCAGCATCGAAAGTGGTGTAACTGATATACCGAGACCAACATGTTTGGTGCGGGCTGAAGGCAATTTCTGGATTTCTTCGTCCATCACTGTCGTTTCTCCTCTTTCTAGGAGTTTCTTATATTCCAAGCCCTCTTCTTCTTTTTCTTCTTCAAGCTTTTCTTCATCGAGTTTTTCATGCGGTGCCTCAGGTTTCTTAATTAGTACAGATGGCAAGGATGATGTTTCCAGCATCGAATGTGGTGTAACTGATATACCGAGACCAACATGTTTGGTGCGGGCTGAAGGCAATTTCTGGATTTCTTCGTCCATCACTGTCGTTTCTCCTCTTTCTAGGAGTTTCTTATATTCCAAGCCCTCTTCTTCTTTTTCTTCTTCAAGCTTTTCTTCATCGAGTTTTTCATGCGGTACCTCAGGTTTCTTAATCAGTACAGATGGCAAAGATGATGTTTCCAGCATCGAAAGTGGTGTAACTGATATACCGAGACCAACATGTTTGGTGCGGGCTGAAGGCAATTTCTGGATTTCTTCGTCCATCACTGTCGTTTCTCCTCTTTCTAGGAGTTTCTTATATTCCAAGCCCTCTTCTTCTTTTTCTTCTTCAAGCTTTTCTTCATCGAGTTTTTCATGCGGTACCTCAGGTTTCTTAATCAGTACAGATGGCAAAGATGATGTTTCCAGCATCGAATGTGGTGTAACTGATATACCGAGACCAACATATTTGGTGCGGGCTGGAGTGAATTTCTGTTTAGGTTTCTTAAGCAATACAGATGGCAAAGATGATGTTTCCAGCATCGAAAGTGGTGTAACTGATATACCGAGACCAACATGTTTGGTGCGGGCTGAAGGCAATTTCTGGATTTCTTCGTCCATCACTGTCGTTTCTCCTCTTTCTAGGAGTTTCTTATATTCCAAGCCCTCTTCTTCTTTTTCTTCTTCAAGCTTTTCTTCATCGAGTTTTTCATGCGGTACCTCAGGTTTCTTAATCAGTACAGATGGCAAGGATGATGTTTCCAGCATCGAATGTGGTGTAACTGATATACCGAGACCAACATGTTTGGTGCGGGCTGAAGGCAATTTCTGGATTTCTTCGTCCATCACTGTCGTTTCTCCTCTTTCTAGGAGTTTCTTATATTCCAAGCCCTCTTCTTCTTTTTCTTCTTCAAGCTTTTCTTCATCGAGTTTTTCATGCGGTACCTCAGGTTTCTTAATTAGTACAGATGGCAAGGATGATGTTTCCAGCATCGAATGTGGTGTAACTGATATACCGAGACCAACATGTTTGGTGCGGGCTGAAGGCAATTTCTGGATTTCTTCGTCCATCACTGTCGTTTCTCCTCTTTCTAGGAGTTTCTTATATTCCAAGCCCTCTTCTTCTTTTTCTTCTTCAAGCTTTTCTTCATCGAGTTTTTCATGCGGTGCCTCAGGTTTCTTAATTAGTACAGATGGCAAGGATGATGTTTCCAGCATCGAATGTGGTGTAACTGATATACCGAGACCAATATATTTGGTGCGGGCTGGAGGGAATTTCTGTTTAGGTTTCTTAAGCAATACAGATGGCAAGGATGATGTTTCCAGCATCGAATGTGGTGTAAATGATATACCGAGACCAACATGTTTGGTGCGGGCTGAAGGCAATTTCTGGATTTCTTCGTCCATCACTGTCGTTTCTCCTCTTTCTAGGAGTTTCTTATATTCCAAGCCCTCTTCTTCTTTTTCTTCTTCAAGCTTTTCTTCATCGAGTTTTTCATGCGGTACCTCAGGTTTCTTAATTAGTACAGATGGCAAGGATGATGTTTCCAGCATCGAATGTGGTGTAACTGATATACCGAGACCAACATATCTGGTGCGGGCTGGAGGGAATTTCTGTTTAGGTTTCTTAAGCAATAAAGATGGCAAGGATGATGATTCCAGCATCGAATGTGGTGTAAATGATATACCGAGACCAACATGTTTGGTGCGGGCTGAAGGCAATTTCTGGATTTCTTCGTCCATCACTGTCGTTTCTCCTCTTTCTAGGAGTTTCTTATATTCCAAGCCCTCTTCTTCTTTTTCTTCTTCAAGCTTTCCTTCGACCTCAGGTTTCGTCATCAATATAAGGGGTGAAGATGATGAGTCTGGTTTCAAAAATGGTGCCACTGATAAAGCAACACCAAGCTGAACAGCTGGGGCTGATAAAGTCTCTGCAGCTTCTTCCATATATGTCGTTTCTCCTTTTTCGCCCAATTTTTTGTATTCCTCCTCTTCTTCCTCTTCTTGAATCCTTCCTTCAACGCCTGTTTCATTTGCAGGTACAGTTGACTTCATAGACACTGACAATTCTGGTTTCGAAAACAGTCCAACCGATACACCAAGACCAAGCGGCACAGTGCCTGCTGATGGTGATACTGAAGCTTCCATATATGTCGTTTCTCCCTTTTCTCCCAGTCTTTTCATTTCTTCTTCCTCCTCTTGAATTCTTTCCTCAATTCCTGTTTCATTTGCAGATACAGTTGACTTCATCGACACTGAAGATTCAGGGATAGAGGACGATGTCATCGATAGACCAAGACCAAGCAGCCCAGTGCCTGCTGATGGTGATACTGAAGCTTCCATATATGTCGTTTCTCCTTTTTCGCCCAATTTTTTGTATTCCTCCTCTTCTTCCTCTTCTTGAATCCTTCCTTCAACGCCTGTTTCATTTGCAGATACAGTTGACTTCATCGACACTGAAGATTCAGGGATAGAGGACGATGTCATCGATAGACCAAGACCAGGCAGCCCAGTGCCTGCTGATGGTGATACTGAAGCTTCCATATATGTCGTTTCTCCTTTTTCGCCCAATTTTTTGTATTCCTCCTCTTCTTCCTCTTCTTGAATTCTTCCTTCAACGCCTGTTTCATTTGCAGATACAGTTGACTTCATCGACACTGAAGATTCAGGGATAGAGGACGATGTCATCGATAGACCAAGACCAAGCAGCCCAGTGCCTGCTGATGGTGATACTGAAGCTTCCATATATGTCGTTTCTCCTTTTTCGCCCAATTTTTTGTATTCCTCCTCTTCTTCCTCTTCTTGAATTCTTCCTTCAACGCCTGTTTCATTTGCAGATACAGTTGACTTCATCGACACTGAAGATTCAGGTATAGAGAAGGTGTCATCGATAGACCAAGACCAAGCAGCCCAGTGCCTGCTGATGGTGATACTGAAGCTTCCATATATGTCGTTTCTCCTTTTTCGCCCAATTTTTTGTATTCCTCCTCTTCTTCCTCTTCTTGAATCCTTCCTTCAACGCCTGTTTCATTTGCAGTTACAGTTGACTTCATCGACACTGAAGATTCAGGTGTTGAGAAGGGTGTCATCGATAGACCAAGACCATGCAGCCCAGTGCCTGCTGATGGTGATACTGAAGCTTCCATATATGTCGTTTCTCCTTTTTCGCCCAATTTTTTGTATTCCTCCTCTTCTTCCTCTTCTTGAATTCTTCCTTCAACGCCTGTTTCATTTGCAGATACAGTTGACTTCATCGACACTGAAGATTCAGGGATAGAGAAAGGTGTCATCGATAGACCTAGACCAAGCAGCCCAGTGCCTGCTGATGGTGATACTGAAGCTTCCATATATGTCGTTTCTCCTTTTTCGCCCAATTTTTTGTATTCCTCCTCTTCTTCCTCTTCTTGAATCCTTCCTTCAACGCCTGTTTCATTTGCAGGTACAGTTGACTTCATCGACACCGACAATTCTGGTTTCGAAAACAGTCCAACCGATACACTAAGACCAAGCGGCACAGTGCCTGCTGATGGTGATACTGAAGCTTCCATATATGTCGTTTCTCCTTTTTCGCCCAATTTTTTGTATTCCTCCTCTTCTTCCTCTTCTTGAATCCTTCCTTCAACGCCTGTTTCATTTGCAGATACAGTTGACTTCATCGATACTGAAGATTCAGGTGTTGAGAAGGGTGTCATCGATAGACCAAGACCATGCAGCCCAGTGCCAGCTGATGGTGATACTGGAGCTTCCATATATGTCGTTTCTCCCTTTTCTCCCAGTCTTTTCAATTCTTCTTCCTCCTCTTGAATTCTTTCCTCAATTCCTGTTTCATTTGCAGATACAGTTGACTTCATCGAGACTGAAGATTCAGGCATAGAGGACGATGTCATCGATAGACCAAGACCAAGCAGCCCAGTGCCTGCTGATGGTGATACTGAAGCTTCCATATATGTCGTTTCTCCTTTTTCGCCCAATTTTTTGTATTCCTCCTCTTCTTCCTCTTCTTGAATCCTTCCTTCAACGCCTGTTTCATTTGCAGATACAGTTGACTTCATCGACACTGAAGATTCAGGGATAGAGGACGATGTCATCGATAGACCAAGACCAGGCAGCCCAGTGCCAGCTGATGGTGATACTGGAGCTTCCATATATGTCGTTTCTCCTTTTTCGCCCAATTTTTTGTATTCCTCCTCTTCTTCCTCTTCTTGAATTCTTCCTTCAATGCCTGTCTCATTTGCAGATACAGTTGACTTCATCGACGCTGAAGATTCAGGGATAGAGGACGATGTCATCGATAGACCAAGACCAGGCAGCCCAGTGCCAGCTGATGGTGATACTGGAGCTTCCATATATGTCGTTTCTCCTTTTTCGCCCAATTTTTTGTATTCCTCCTCTTCTTCCTCTTCTTGAATCCTTCCTTCAACGCCTGTTTCATTTGCAGATACAGTTGACTTCATCGATACTGAAGATTCAGGTGTTGAGAAGGGTGTCATCGATAGACCAAGACCATGCAGCCCAGTGCCAGCTGATGGTGATACTGGAGCTTCCATATATGTCGTTTCTCCCTTTTCTCCCAGTCTTTTCAATTCTTCTTCCTCCTCTTGAATTCTTTCCTCAATTCCTGTTTCATTTGCAGATACAGTTGACTTCATCGAGACTGAAGATTCAGGGATAGAGGACGATGTCATCGATAGACCAAGACCAAGCGGCACAGTGCCAGCTGATGGTGATACTGAAGCTTCCATATATGTCGTTTCTCCTTTTTCGCCCAATTTTTTGTATTCCACCTCTTCTTCCTCTTCTTGAATTCTTCCTTCAATGCCTGTCTCATTTGCAGATACAGTTGATTTCATCGACGCTGAAGATTCAGGTATAGAGAAAGGTGTCATCGATAGACCTAGACCAAGCAGCCCAGTGCCTGCTGATGGTGATACTGAAGCTTCCATATATGTCGTTTCTCCTTTTTCGCCCAATTTTTTGTATTCCTCCTCTTCTTCCTCTTCTTGAATTCTTCCTTCAATGCCTGTCTCATTTGCAGATACAGTTGATTTCATCGACGCTGAAGATTCAGGTATAGAGAAAGGTGTCATCGATAGACCTAGACCAAGCAGCCCAGTGCCTGCTGATGGTGATACTGAAGCTTCCATATATGTCGTTTCTCCTTTTTCGCCCAATTTTTTGTATTCCTCCTCTTCTTCCTCTTCTTGAATCCTTCCTTCAACGCCTGTTTCATTTGCAGATACAGTTGACTTCATCGATACTGAAGATTCAGGTGTTGAGAAGGGTGTCATCGATAGACCAAGACCATGCAGCCCAGTGCCAGCTGATGGTGATACTGGAGCTTCCATATATGTCGTTTCTCCCTTTTCTCCCAGTCTTTTCAATTCTTCTTCCTCCTCTTGAATTCTTTCCTCAATTCCTGTTTCATTTGCAGATACAGTTGACTTCATCGAGACTGAAGATTCAGGGATAGAGGACGATGTCATCGATAGACCAAGACCAAGCAGCCCAGTGCCTGCTGATGGTGATACTGAAGCTTCCATATATGTCGTTTCTCCTTTTTCGCCCAATTTTTTGTATTCCTCCTCTTCTTCCTCTTCTTGAATCCTTCCTTCAACGCCTGTTTCATTTGCAGATACAGTTGACTTCATCGATACTGAAGATTCAGGTGTTGAGAAGGGTGTCATCGATAGACCAAGACCATGCAGCCCAGTGCCAGCTGATGGTGATACTGGAGCTTCCATATATGTCGTTTCTCCCTTTTCTCCCAGTCTTTTCAATTCTTCTTCCTCCTCTTGAATTCTTTCCTCAATTCCTGTTTCATTTGCAGATACAGTTGACTTCATCGAGACTGAAGATTCAGGGATAGAGGACGATGTCATCGATAGACCAAGACCAAGCAGCCCAGTGCCTGCTGATGGTGATACTGAAGCTTCCATATATGTCGTTTCTCCTTTTTCGCCCAATTTTTTGTATTCCTCCTCTTCTTCCTCTTCTTGAATCCTTCCTTCAACGCCTGTTTCATTTGCAGATACAGTTGACTTCATCGACACTGAAGATTCAGGGATAGAGGACGATGTCATCGATAGACCAAGACCAGGCAGCCCAGTGCCAGCTGATGGTGATACTGAAGCTTCCATATATGTCGTTTCTCCTTTTTCGCCCAATTTTTTGTATTCCTCCTCTTCTTCCTCTTCTTGAATCCTTCCTTCAACGCCTGTTTCATTTGCAGATACAGTTGACTTCATCGACACTGAAGATTCAGGGATAGAGGACGATGTCATCGATAGACCAAGACCAGGCAGCCCAGTGCCAGCTGATGGTGATACTGAAGCTTCCATATATGTCGTTTCTCCTTTTTCGCCCAATTTTTTGTATTCCACCTCTTCTTCCTCTTCTTGAATTCTTCCTTCAATGCCTGTCTCATTTGCAGATACAGTTGACTTCATCGACGCTGAAGATTCAGGTATAGAGAAAGGTGTCATCGATAGACCTAGACCAAGCAGCCCAGTGCCTGCTGATGGTGATACTGAAGCTTCCATATATGTCGTTTCTCCTTTTTCGCCCAATTTTTTGTATTCCTCCTCTTCTTCCTCTTCTTGAATCCTTCCTTCAATGCCTGTCTCATTTGCAGATACAGTTGACTTCATCGACACTGAAGATTCAGGGATAGAGGACGATGTCATCGATAGACCAAGACCAGGCAGCCCAGTGCCAGCTGATGGTGATACTGGAAGCTTCCATATATGTCGTTTCTCCTTTTTCGCCCAATTTTTTGTATTCCTCCTCTTCTTCCTCTTCTTGAATCCTTCCTTCAACGCCTGTTTCATTTGCAGATACAGTTGACTTCATCGATACTGAAGATTCAGGTGTAGAGAAGGGTGTCATCGATAGACCAAGACCAAGCAGCCCAGTGCCTGCTGATGGTGATACTGAAGCTTCCATATATGTCGTTTCTCCCTTTTCTCCCAGTCTTTTCATTTCTTCTTCCTCCTCTTGAATTCTTTCCTCAATTCCTGTTTCATTTGCAGATACAGTTGACTTCATCGACACTGAAGATTCAGGGATAGAGGACGATGTCATCGATAGACCAAGACCAGGCAGCCCAGTGCCAGCTGATGGTGATACTGAAGCTTCCATATATGTCGTTTCTCCTTTTTCGCCCAATTTTTTGTATTCCTCCTCTTCTTCCTCTTCTTGAATCCTTCCTTCAACGCCTGTTTCATTTGCAGATACAGTTGACTTCATCGACACTGAAGATTCAGGGATAGAGGACGATGTCATCGATAGACCAAGACCAAGCAGCCCAGTGCCAGCTGATGGTGATACTGAAGCTTCCATATATGTCGTTTCTCCTTTTTCGCCCAATTTTTTGTATTCCTCCTCTTCTTCCTCTTCTTGAATTCTTCCTTCAATGCCTGTTTCATTTGCAGATACAGTTGACTTCATCGACACTGAAGATTCAGGTGTTGAGAAGGGTGTCATCGATAGACCAAGACCAAGCAGCCCAGTGCCTGCTGATGGTGATACTGAAGCTTCCATATATGTCGTTTCTCCTTTTTCGCCCAATTTTTTGTATTCCTCCTCTTCTTCCTCTTCTTGAATCCTTCCTTCAACGCCTGTTTCATTTGCAGATACAGTTGACTTCATCGACACTGAAGATTCAGGTGTAGAGAAGGGTGTCATCGATAGACCAAGACCAAGCAGCCCAGTGCCAGCTGATGGTGATACTGAAGCTTCCATATATGTCGTTTCTCCTTTTTCGCCCAATTTTTTGTATTCCTCCTCTTCTTCCTCTTCTTGAATTCTTCCTTCAATGCCTGTTTCATTTGCAGATACAGTTGACTTCATCGACACTGAAGATTCAGGGATAGAGGACGATGTCATCGATAGACCAAGACCAAGCAGCCCAGTGCCAGCTGATGGTGATACTGAAGCTTCCATATATGTCGTTTCTCCTTTTTCGCCCAATTTTTTGTATTCCTCCTCTTCTTCCTCTTCTTGAATCCTTCCTTCAATGCCTGTTTCATTTGCAGATACAGTTGACTTCATCGACACTGAAGATTCAGGTGATAGAGGACGATGTCATCGATAGACCAAGACCAAGCAGCCCAGTGCCTGCTGATGGTGATACTGAAGCTTCCATATATGTCGTTTCTCCTTTTTCGCCCAATTTTTTGTATTCCTCCTCTTCTTCCTCTTCTTGAATCCTTCCTTCAACGCCTGTTTCATTTGCAGATACAGTTGACTTCATCGATACTGAAGATTCAGGTGTAGAGAAGGGTGTCATCGATAGACCAAGACCAAGCAGCCCAGTGCCTGCTGATGGTGATACTGAAGCTTCCATATATGTCGTTTCTCCCTTTTCTCCCAGTCTTTTCATTTCTTCTTCCTCCTCTTGAATTCTTTCCTCAATTCCTGTTTCATTTGCAGATACAGTTGACTTCATCGACACTGAAGATTCAGGGATAGAGGACGATGTCATCGATAGACCAAGACCAGGCAGCCCAGTGCCAGCTGATGGTGATACTGAAGCTTCCATATATGTCGTTTCTCCTTTTTCGCCCAATTTTTTGTATTCCTCCTCTTCTTCCTCTTCTTGAATTCTTCCTTCAATGCCTGTTTCATTTGCAGATACAGTTGACTTCATCGACACTGAAGATTCAGGTATAGAGGACGATGTCATCGATAGACCAAGACCAAGCAGCCCAGTGCCTGCTGATGGTGATACTGAAGCTTCCATATATGTCGTTTCTCCTTTTTCGCCCAATTTTTTGTATTCCTCCTCTTCTTCCTCTTCTTGAATCCTTCCTTCAACGCCTGTTTCATTTGCAGATACAGTTGACTTCATCGATACTGAAGATTCAGGTGTAGAGAAGGGTGTCATCGATAGACCAAGACCAAGCAGCCCAGTGCCTGCTGATGGTGATACTGAAGCTTCCATATATGTCGTTTCTCCTTTTTCGCCCAATTTTTTGTATTCCTCCTCTTCTTCCTCTTCTTGAATTCTTCCTTCAATGCCTGTCTCATTTGCAGATACAGTTGACTTCATCGACGCTGAAGATTCAGGTATAGAGAAAGGTGTCATCGATAGACCAAGACCAAGCAGCCCAGTGCCAGCTGATGGTGATACTGAAGCTTCCATATATGTCGTTTCTCCTTTTTCGCCCAATTTTTTGTATTCCTCCTCTTCTTCCTCTTCTTGAATCCTTCCTTCAACGCCTGTTTCATTTGCAGATACAGTTGACTTCATCGACACTGAAGATTCAGGGATAGAGGACGATGTCATCGATAGACCAAGACCAAGCAGCCCAGTGCCAGCTGATGGTGATACTGAAGCTTCCATATATGTCGTTTCTCCTTTTTCGCCCAATTTTTTGTATTCCTCCTCTTCTTCCTCTTCTTGAATCCTTCCTTCAACGCCTGTTTCATTTGCAGATACAGTTGACTTCATCGATACTGAAGATTCAGGTGTAGAGAAGGGTGTCATCGATAGACCAAGACCAAGCAGCCCAGTGCCTGCTGATGGTGATACTGAAGCTTCCATATATGTCGTTTCTCCTTTTTCGCCCAATTTTTTGTATTCCTCCTCTTCTTCCTCTTCTTGAATCCTTCCTTCAACGCCTGTTTCATTTGCAGATACAGTTGACTTCATCGATACTGAAGATTCAGGTGTAGAGAAGGGTGTCATCGATAGACCAAGACCAAGCAGCCCAGTGCCAGCTGATGGTGATACTGAAGCTTCCATATATGTCGTTTCTCCTTTTTCGCCCAATTTTTTGTATTCCTCCTCTTCTTCCTCTTCTTGAATTCTTCCTTCAATGCCTGTTTCATTTGCAGATACAGTTGACTTCATCGACACTGAAGATTCAGGGATAGAGGACGATGTCATCGATAGACCAAGACCAAGCAGCCCAGTGCCTGCTGATGGTGATACTGAAGCTTCCATATATGTCGTTTCTCCTTTTTCGCCCAATTTTTTGTATTCCTCCTCTTCTTCCTCTTCTTGAATCCTTCCTTCAACGCCTGTTTCATTTGCAGATACAGTTGACTTCATCGACACTGAAGATTCAGGGATAGAGGACGATGTCATCGATAGACCAAGACCAAGCAGCCCAGTGCCAGCTGATGGTGATACTGAAGCTTCCATATATGTCGTTTCTCCTTTTTCGCCCAATTTTTTGTATTCCTCCTCTTCTTCCTCTTCTTGAATTCTTCCTTCAATGCCTGTTCATTTGCAGATACAGTTGACTTCATCGACACTGAAGATTCAGGTGATAGAGGAAGGATGTCATCGATAGACCAAGACCAAGCAGCCCAGTGCCTGCTGATGGTGATACTGAAGCTTCCATATATGTCGTTTCTCCTTTTTCGCCCAATTTTTGTATTCCTCCTCTTCTTCCTCTTCTTGAATTCCTTCCTTCAATGCCTGTTTCATTTGCAGATACAGTTGACTTCATCGACACTGAAGATTCAGGGATAGAGGACGATGTCATCGATAGACCAAGACCAAGCAGCCCAGTGCCAGCTGATGGTGATACTGAAGCTTCCATATATGTCGTTTCTCCTTTTTCGCCCAATTTTTTGTATTCCTCCTCTTCTTCCTCTTCTTGAATCCTTCCTTCAACGCCTGTTTCATTTGCAGATACAGTTGACTTCATCGACACTGAAGATTCAGGGATAGAGGACGATGTCATCGATAGACCAAGACCAAGCAGCCCAGTGCCTGCTGATGGTGATACTGAAGCTTCCATATATGTCGTTTCTCCTTTTTCGCCCAATTTTTTGTATTCCTCCTCTTCTTCCTCTTCTTGAATCCTTCCTTCAACGCCTGTTTCATTTGCAGATACAGTTGACTTCATCGACACTGAAGATTCAGGTGTAGAGAAGGGTGTCATCGATAGACCAAGACCAAGCAGCCCAGTGCCTGCTGATGGTGATACTGAAGCTTCCATATATGTCGTTTCTCCTTTTTCGCCCAATTTTTTGTATTCCTCCTCTTCTTCCTCTTCTTGAATCCTTCCTTCAACGCCTGTTTCATTTGCAGATACAGTTGACTTCATCGATACTGAAGATTCAGGTGTAGAGAAGGGTGTCATCGATAGACCAAGACCAAGCAGCCCAGTGCCTGCTGATGGTGATACTGAAGCTTCCATATATGTCGTTTCTCCTTTTTCGCCCAATTTTTTGTATTCCTCCTCTTCTTCCTCTTCTTGAATTCTTCCTTCAATGCCTGTTTCATTTGCAGATACAGTTGACTTCATCGACACTGAAGATTCAGGGATAGAGGACGATGTCATCGATAGACCAAGACCAAGCAGCCCAGTGCCAGCTGATGGTGATACTGAAGCTTCCATATATGTCGTTTCTCCTTTTTCGCCCAATTTTTTGTATTCCTCCTCTTCTTCCTCTTCTTGAATCCTTCCTTCAACGCCTGTTTCATTTGCAGATACAGTTGACTTCATCGACACTGAAGATTCAGGTGATAGAGGACGATGTCATCGATAGACCAAGACCAAGCAGCCCAGTGCCTGCTGATGGTGATACTGAAGCTTCCATATATGTCGTTTCTCCTTTTTCGCCCAATTTTTTGTATTCCTCCTCTTCTTCCTCTTCTTGAATCCTTCCTTCAATGCCTGTTTCATTTGCAGATACAGTTGACTTCATCGACACTGAAGATTCAGGTGATAGAGGACGATGTCATCGATAGACCAAGACCAAGCAGCCCAGTGCCTGCTGATGGTGATACTGAAGCTTCCATATATGTCGTTTCTCCCTTTTCTCCCAATTTTTTGTATTCCTCCTCTTCTTCCTTCTTGAATTCTTTCCTCAATTCCTGTTTCATTTGCAGATACAGTTGACTTCATCGACACTGAAGATTCAGGATAGAGGACGATGTCATCGATAGACCAAGACCAAGCAGCCCAGTGCCTGCTGATGGTGATACTGAAGCTTCCATATATGTCGTTTCTCCTTTTTCGCCCAATTTTTTGTATTCCTCCTCTTCTTCCTCTTCTTGAATTCTTCCTTCAATGCCTGTTTCATTTGCAGATACAGTTGACTTCATCGACACTGAAGATTCAGGGATAGAGGACGATGTCATCGATAGACCAAGACCAAGCAGCCCAGTGCCAGCTGATGGTGATACTGAAGCTTCCATATATGTCGTTTCTCCTTTTTCGCCCAATTTTTTGTATTCCTCCTCTTCTTCCTCTTCTTGAATTCTTCCTTCAATGCCTGTTTCATTTGCAGATACAGTTGACTTCATCGACACTGAAGATTCAGGGATAGAGGACGATGTCATCGATAGACCAAGACCAAGCAGCCCAGTGCCAGCTGATGGTGATACTGAAGCTTCCATATATGTCGTTTCTCCTTTTTCGCCCAATTTTTTGTATTCCTCCTCTTCTTCCTCTTCTTGAATCCTTCCTTCAACGCCTGTTTCATTTGCAGATACAGTTGACTTCATCGATACTGAAGATTCAGGTGTAGAGAAGGGTGTCATCGATAGACCAAGACCAAGCAGCCCAGTGCCTGCTGATGGTGATACTGAAGCTTCCATATATGTCGTTTCTCCCTTTTCTCCCAGTCTTTTCATTTCTTCTTCCTCCTCTTGAATTCTTTCCTCAATTCCTGTTTCATTTGCAGATACAGTTGACTTCATCGACACTGAAGATTCAGGGATAGAGGACGATGTCATCGATAGACCAAGACCAGGCAGCCCAGTGCCAGCTGATGGTGATACTGAAGCTTCCATATATGTCGTTTCTCCTTTTTCGCCCAATTTTTTGTATTCCTCCTCTTCTTCCTCTTCTTGAATCCTTCCTTCAATGCCTGTTTCATTTGCAGATACAGTTGACTTCATCGACACTGAAGATTCAGGTATAGAGGACGATGTCATCGATAGACCAAGACCAAGCAGCCCAGTGCCTGCTGATGGTGATACTGAAGCTTCCATATATGTCGTTTCTCCTTTTTCGCCCAATTTTTTGTATTCCTCCTCTTCTTCCTCTTCTTGAATCCTTCCTTCAACGCCTGTTTCATTTGCAGATACAGTTGACTTCATCGACACTGAAGATTCAGGTGTTGAGAAGGGTGTCATCGATAGACCAAGACCAGGCAGCCCAGTGCCAGCTGATGGTGATACTGAAGCTTCCATATATGTCGTTTCTCCTTTTTCGCCCAATTTTTTGTATTCCTCCTCTTCTTCCTCTTCTTGAATCCTTCCTTCAATGCCTGTTTCATTTGCAGATACAGTTGACTTCATCGATACTGAAGATTCAGGTGTTGAGAAGGGTGTCATCGATAGACCAAGACCAAGCAGCCCAGTACCAGCTGATGGTGATACTGGAGCTTCCATATATGTCGTTTCTCCTTTTTCGCCCAATTTTTTGTATTCCTCCTCTTCTTCCTCTTCTTGAATCCTTCCTTCAACGCCTGTTTCATTTGCAGATACAGTTGACTTCATCGACACTGAAGATTCAGGGATAGAGGACGATGTCATCGATAGACCAAGACCAAGCAGCCCAGTGCCAGCTGATGGTGATACTGAAGCTTCCATATATGTCGTTTCTCCCTTTTCTCCCAGTCTTTTCATTTCTTCTTCCTCCTCTTGAATTCTTTCCTCAATTCCTGTTTCATTTGCAGATACAGTTGACTTCATCGACACTGAAGATTCAGGGATAGAGGACGATGTCATCGATAGACCAAGACCAAGCAGCCCAGTGCCTGCTGATGGTGATACTGAAGCTTCCATATATGTCGTTTCTCCTTTTTCGCCCAATTTTTTGTATTCCTCCTCTTCTTCCTCTTCTTGAATCCTTCCTTCAACGCCTGTTTCATTTGCAGATACAGTTGACTTCATCGATACTGAAGATTCAGGTGTTGAGAAGGGTGTCATCGATAGACCAAGACCATGCAGCCCAGTGCCTGCTGATGGTGATACTGAAGCTTCCATATATGTCGTTTCTCCCTTTTCTCCCAGTCTTTTCATTTCTTCTTCCTCCTCTTGAATTCTTTCCTCAATTCCTGTTTCATTTGCAGATACAGTTGACTTCATCGACACTGAAGATTCAGGGATAGAGGACGATGTCATCGATAGACCAAGACCAAGCAGCCCAGTGCCTGCTGATGGTGATACTGAAGCTTCCATATATGTCGTTTCTCCCTTTTCTCCCAGTCTTTTCATTTCTTCTTCCTCCTCTTGAATTCTTTCCTCAATTCCTGTTTCATTTGCAGATACAGTTGACTTCATCGACACTGAAGATTCAGGGATAGAGGACGATGTCATCGATAGACCAAGACCAGGCAGCCCAGTGCCAGCTGATGGTGATACTGAAGCTTCCATATATGTCGTTTCTCCTTTTTCGCCCAATTTTTTGTATTCCTCCTCTTCTTCCTCTTCTTGAATCCTTCCTTCAATGCCTGTCTCATTTGCAGATACAGTTGACTTCATCGACACTGAAGATTCAGGTATAGAGGACGATGTCATCGATAGACCAAGACCAAGCAGCCCAGTGCCTGCTGATGGTGATACTGAAGCTTCCATATATGTCGTTTCTCCCTTTTCTCCCAGTCTTTTCATTTCTTCTTCCTCCTCTTGAATTCTTTCCTCAATTCCTGTTTCATTTGCAGATACAGTTGACTTCATCGACACTGAAGATTCAGGGATAGAGGACGATGTCATCGATAGACCAAGACCAGGCAGCCCAGTGCCAGCTGATGGTGATACTGAAGCTTCCATATATGTCGTTTCTCCTTTTTCGCCCAATTTTTTGTATTCCTCCTCTTCTTCCTCTTCTTGAATTCTTCCTTCAATGCCTGTTTCATTTGCAGATACAGTTGACTTCATCGATACTGAAGATTCAGGTGTTGAGAAGGGTGTCATCGATAGACCAAGACCAAGCAGCCCAGTGCCTGCTGATGGTGATACTGAAGCTTCCATATATGTCGTTTCTCCCTTTTCTCCCAGTCTTTTCATTTCTTCTTCCTCCTCTTGAATTCTTTCCTCAATTCCTGTTTCATTTGCAGATACAGTTGACTTCATCGACACTGAAGATTCAGGGATAGAGGACGATGTCATCGATAGACCAAGACCAAGCAGCCCAGTGCCTGCTGATGGTGATACTGAAGCTTCCATATATGTCGTTTCTCCCTTTTCTCCCAGTCTTTTCATTTCTTCTTCCTCCTCTTGAATTCTTTCCTCAATTCCTGTTTCATTTGCAGATACAGTTGACTTCATCGACACTGAAGATTCAGGGATAGAGGACGATGTCATCGATAGACCAAGACCAGGCAGCCCAGTGCCAGCTGATGGTGATACTGAAGCTTCCATATATGTCGTTTCTCCTTTTTCGCCCAATTTTTTGTATTCCTCCTCTTCTTCCTCTTCTTGAATTCTTCCTTCAATGCCTGTTTCATTTGCAGATACAGTTGACTTCATCGATACTGAAGATTCAGGTGTTGAGAAGGGTGTCATCGATAGACCAAGACCAAGCAGCCCAGTGCCTGCTGATGGTGATACTGAAGCTTCCATATATGTCGTTTCTCCCTTTTCTCCCAGTCTTTTCATTTCTTCTTCCTCCTCTTGAATTCTTTCCTCAATTCCTGTTTCATTTGCAGATACAGTTGACTTCATCGAGACTGAAGATTCAGGGATAGAGGACGATGTCATCGATAGACCAAGACCAAGCGGCACAGTGCCAGCTGATGGTGATACTGGAGCTTCCATATATGTCGTTTCTCCTTTTTCGCCCAATTTTTTGTATTCCTCCTCTTCTTCCTCTTCTTGAATTCTTCCTTCAATGCCTGTTTCATTTGCAGATACAGTTGACTTCATCGATACTGAAGATTCAGGTGTTGAGAAGGGTGTCATCGATAGACCAAGACCAAGCAGCCCAGTGCCTGCTGATGGTGATACTGAAGCTTCCATATATGTCGTTTCTCCCTTTTCTCCCAGTCTTTTCATTTCTTCTTCCTCCTCTTGAATTCTTTCCTCAATTCCTGTTTCATTTGCAGATACAGTTGACTTCATCGACACTGAAGATTCAGGGATAGAGGACGATGTCATCGATAGACCAAGACCAAGCAGCCCAGTGCCAGCTGATGGTGATACTGAAGCTTCCATATATGTCGTTTCTCCTTTTTCGCCCAATTTTTTGTATTCCTCCTCTTCTTCCTCTTCTTGAATTCTTCCTTCAATGCCTGTTTCATTTGCAGATACAGTTGACTTCATCGATACTGAAGATTCAGGTGTTGAGAAGGGTGTCATCGATAGACCAAGACCAAGCAGCCCAGTGCCTGCTGATGGTGATACTGAAGCTTCCATATATGTCGTTTCTCCCTTTTCTCCCAGTCTTTTCATTTCTTCTTCCTCCTCTTGAATTCTTTCCTCAATTCCTGTTTCATTTGCAGATACAGTTGACTTCATCGACACTGAAGATTCAGGGATAGAGGACGATGTCATCGATAGACCAAGACCAGGCAGCCCAGTGCCAGCTGATGGTGATACTGAAGCTTCCACATATGTCGTTTCTCCTTTTTCGCCCAATTTTTTGTATTCCTCCTCTTCTTCCTCTTCTTGAATCCTTCCTTCAATGCCTGTCTCATTTGCAGATACAGTTGACTTCATCGACACTGAAGATTCAGGTATAGAGGACGATGTCATCGATAGACCAAGACCAAGCAGCCCAGTGCCTGCTGATGGTGATACTGAAGCTTCCATATATGTCGTTTCTCCTTTTTCGCCCAATTTTTTGTATTCCTCCTCTTCTTCCTCTTCTTGAATCCTTCCTTCAACGCCTGTTTCATTTGCAGATACAGTTGACTTCATCGACACTGAAGATTCAGGTGTTGAGAAGGGTGTCATCGATAGACCAAGACCAAGCAGCCCGGTACCAGCTGATGGTGATACTGAAGCTTCCATATATGTCGTTTCTCCCTTTTCTCCCAGTCTTTTCATTTCTTCTTCCTCCTCTTGAATTCTTTCCTCAATTCCTGTTTCATTTGCAGATACAGTTGACTTCATCGACACTGAAGATTCAGGGATAGAGGACGATGTCATCGATAGACCAAGACCAGGCAGCCCAGTGCCAGCTGATGGTGATACTGAAGCTTCCATATATGTCGTTTCTCCTTTTTCGCCCAATTTTTTGTATTCCTCCTCTTCTTCCTCTTCTTGAATCCTTCCTTCAATGCCTGTCTCATTTGCAGATACAGTTGACTTCATCGACACTGAAGATTCAGGTATAGAGGACGATGTCATCGATAGACCAAGACCAAGCAGCCCAGTGCCTGCTGATGGTGATACTGAAGCTTCCATATATGTCGTTTCTCCTTTTTCGCCCAATTTTTTGTATTCCTCCTCTTCTTCCTCTTCTTGAATCCTTCCTTCAACGCCTGTTTCATTTGCAGATACAGTTGACTTCATCGACACTGAAGATTCAGGTATAGAGGACGATGTCATCGATAGACCAAGACCAAGCAGCCCAGTGCCTGCTGATGGTGATACTGAAGCTTCCATATATGTCGTTTCTCCTTTTTCGCCCAATTTTTTGTATTCCTCCTCTTCTTCCTCTTCTTGAATTCTTCCTTCAATGCCTGTTTCATTTGCAGATACAGTTGACTTCATCGACACTGAAGATTCAGGTATAGAGGACGATGTCATCGATAGACCAAGACCAAGCAGCCCAGTGCCTGCTGATGGTGATACTGAAGCTTCCATATATGTCGTTTCTCCCTTTTTCGCCCAATTTTTTGTATTCCTCCTCTTCTTCCTCTTCTTGAATTCTTCCTTCAACGCCTGTTTCATTTGCAGATACAGTTGACTTCATCGACACTGAAGATTCAGGGATAGAGGACGATGTCATCGATAGACCAAGACCAGGCAGCCCAGTGCCAGCTGATGGTGATACTGAAGCTTCCATATATGTCGTTTCTCCTTTTTCGCCCAATTTTTTGTATTCCTCCTCTTCTTCCTCTTCTTGAATCCTTCCTTCAACGCCTGTTTCATTTGCAGATGCAGTTGACTTCATCGACACTGAAGATTCAGGTATAGAGAAAGGTGTCATCGATAGACCAAGACCAAGCAGCCCAGTGCCTGCTGATGGTGATACTGAAGCTTCCATATATGTCGTTTCTCCTTTTTCGCCCAATTTTTTGTATTCCTCCTCTTCTTCCTCTTCTTGAATCCTTCCTTCAACGCCTGTTTCATTTGCAGATACAGTTGACTTCATCGACACTGAAGATTCCGGTTTAGAGAACGGTGTCATCGATAGACCAAGACCAAGCAGCCCGGTACCAGCTGATGGTGATACTGAAGCTTCCATATATGTCGTTTCTCCTTTTTCGCCCAATTTTTTGTATTCCTCCTCTTCTTCCTCTTCTTGAATCCTTCCTTCAACGCCTGTTTCATTTGCAGATACAGTTGACTTCATCGACGCTGAAGATTCAGGTATAGAGAAGGGTGTCATCGATAGACCAAGACCAGGCAGCCCAGTTCCGGCTGATGGTGATACTGAAGCTTCCATATATGTCGTTTCTCCTTTTTCGCCCAATTTTTTGTATTCCTCCTCTTCTTCCTCTTCTTGAATCCTTCCTTCAACGCCTGTTTCATTTGCAGATACAGTTGACTTCATCGACACTGAAGATTCAGGTGTTGAGAAGGGTGTCATCGATAGACCAAGACCAAGCAGCCCAGTGCCTGCTGATGGTGATACTGAAGCTTCCATATATGTCGTTTCTCCTTTTTCGCCCAATTTTTTGTATTCCTCCTCTTCTTCCTCTTCTTGAATCCTTCCTTCAACGCCTGTTTCATTTGCAGATACAGTTGACTTCATCGATACTGAAGATTCAGGTGTAGAGAAGGGTGTCATCGATAGACCAAGACCAAGCAGCCCAGTGCCTGCTGATGGTGATACTGAAGCTTCCATATATGTCGTTTCTCCCTTTTCTCCCAGTCTTTTCATTTCTTCTTCCTCCTCTTGAATTCTTTCCCCAATTCCTGTTTCATTTGCAGATACAGTTGACTTCATCGACACTGAAGATTCAGGTATAGAGAAGGTGTCATCGATAGACCAAGACCAAGCAGCCCAGTGCCTGCTGATGGTGATACTGAAGCTTCCATATATGTCGTTTCTCCCTTTTCTCCCAGTCTTTTCATTTCTTCTTCCTCCTCTTGAATTCTTTCCTCAATTCCTGTTTCATTTGCAGATACAGTTGACTTCATCGACACTGAAGATTCAGGGATAGAGGACGATGTCATCGATAGACCAAGACCAGGCAGCCCAGTGCCAGCTGATGGTGATACTGAAGCTTCCATATATGTCGTTTCTCCTTTTTCGCCCAATTTTTTGTATTCCTCCTCTTCTTCCTCTTCTTGAATCCTTCCTTCAATGCCTGTCTCATTTGCAGATACAGTTGACTTCATCGACACTGAAGATTCAGGTATAGAGGACGATGTCATCGATAGACCAAGACCAAGCAGCCCAGTGCCTGCTGATGGTGATACTGAAGCTTCCATATATGTCGTTTCTCCTTTTTCGCCCAATTTTTTGTATTCCTCCTCTTCTTCCTCTTCTTGAATCCTTCCTTCAATTCCTGTTTCATTTGCAGATACAGTTGACTTCATCGATACTGAAGATTCAGGTGTAGAGAAGGGTGTCATCGATAGACCAAGACCAAGCAGCCCAGTGCCTGCTGATGGTGATACTGAAGCTTCCATATATGTCGTTTCTCCTTTTTCGCCCAATTTTTGTATTCCTCCTCTTCTTCCTCTTCTTGAATCCTTCCTTCAATTCCTGTTTCATTTGCAGATACAGTTGACTTCATCGACACTGAAGATTCAGGGATAGAGGACGATGTCATCGATAGACCAAGACCAAGCAGCCCAGTGCCAGCTGATGGTGATACTGAAGCTTCCATATATGTCGTTTCTCCTTTTTCGCCCAATTTTTTGTATTCCTCCTCTTCTTCCTCTTCTTGAATCCTTCCTTCAACGCCTGTTTCATTTGCAGATACAGTTGACTTCATCGACACTGAAGATTCAGGTGTTAGAGAAGGGTGTCATCGATAGACCAAGACCAAGCAGCCCAGTGCCTGCTGATGGTGATACTGAAGCTTCCATATATGTCGTTTCTCCTTTTTCGCCCAATTTTTGTATTCTCTTCTTCCTCCTTCTTGAATTCTTTCCTCAACTCCTGTTTCATTTGCAGATACAGTTGACTTCATCGACACTGAAGATTCGGATAGAGGACGATGTCATCGATAGACCAAGACCAGGCAGCCCAGTGCCAGCTGATGGTGATACTGAAGCTTCCATATATGTCGTTTCTCCTTTTTCGCCCAATTTTTTGTATTCCTCCTCTTCTTCCTCTTCTTGAATCCTTCCTTCAACGCCTGTTTCATTTGCAGATACAGTTGACTTCATCGACACTGAAGATTCAGGGATAGAGGACGATGTCATCGATAGACCAAGACCAAGCAGCCCAGTGCCTGCTGATGGTGATACTGAAGCTTCCATATATGTCGTTTCTCCCTTTTTCGCCCAATTTTTGTCATTCTCTCTTCTTCCTCTTCTTGAATTCTTCCTTCAATTCCTGTTTCATTTGCAGATACAGTTGACTTCATCGACACTGAAGATTCAGGTATAGAGACGATGTCATCGATAGACCAAGACCAAGCAGCCCAGTGCCTAGCTGATGGTGATACTGAAGCTTCCATATATGTCGTTTCTCCCTTTTCTGCCCAGTCTTTGTATTCCTCCTCTTCTTCCTCTTCTTGAATCCTTCCTTCAATTGCCTGTTTCATTTGCAGATACAGTTGACTTCATCGACACTGAAGATTCAGGGATAGAGGACGATGTCATCGATAGACCAAGACCAGGCAGCCCAGTGCCAGCTGATGGTGATACTGAAGCTTCCATATATGTCGTTTCTCCTTTTTCGCCCAATTTTTTGTATTCCTCCTCTTCTTCCTCTTCTTGAATCCTTCCTTCAACGCCTGTTTCATTTGCAGATACAGTTGACTTCATCGACACTGAAGATTCAGGTGTTGAGAAGGGTGTCATCGATAGACCAAGACCAAGCAGCCCAGTGCCTGCTGATGGTGATACTGAAGCTTCCATATATGTCGTTTCTCCTTTTTCGCCCAATTTTTTGTATTCCTCCTCTTCTTCCTCTTCTTGAATCCTTCCTTCAACGCCTGTTTCATTTGCAGATACAGTTGACTTCATCGACACTGAAGATTCAGGGATAGAGGACGATGTCATCGATAGACCAAGACCAAGCAGCCCAGTGCCTGCTGATGGTGATACTGAAGCTTCCATATATGTCGTTTCTCCTTTTCTCCCAGTCTTTTCATTTCTTCTTCCTCCTCTTGAATTCTTTCCTCAATTCCTGTTTCATTTGCAGATACAGTTGACTTCATCGACACTGAAGATTCAGGTGTAGAGAAGGGTGTCATCGATAGACCAAGACCAAGCAGCCCAGTGCCTGCTGATGGTGATACTGGAGCTTCCATATATGTCGTTTCTCCCTTTTCTCCCAGTCTTTTCATTTCTTCTTCCTCCTCTTGAATTCTTTCCTCAATTCCTGTTTCATTTGCAGATACAGTTGACTTCATCGACACTGAAGATTCAGGGATAGAGGACGATGTCATCGATAGACCAAGACCAGGCAGCCCAGTGCCAGCTGATGGTGATACTGAAGCTTCCATATATGTCGTTTCTCCTTTTTCGCCCAATTTTTTGTATTCCTCCTCTTCTTCCTCTTCTTGAATCCTTCCTTCAATGCCTGTCTCATTTGCAGATACAGTTGACTTCATCGACACTGAAGATTCAGGGTATAGAGGACGATGTCATCGATAGACCAAGACCAAGCAGCCCAGTGCCTGCTGATGGTGATACTGAAGCTTCCATATATGTCGTTTCTCCTTTTTCGCCCAATTTTTTGTATTCCTCCTCTTCTTCCTCTTCTTGAATCCTTCCTTCAACGCCTGTTTCATTTGCAGATACAGTTGACTTCATCGACACTGAAGATTCAGGGATAGAGGACGATGTCATCGATAGACCAAGACCAAGCAGCCCAGTGCCAGCTGATGGTGATACTGAAGCTTCCATATATGTCGTTTCTCCCTTTTCTCCCAGTCTTTTCATTTCTTCTTCCTCCTCTTGAATTCTTTCCTCAATTCCTGTTTCATTTGCAGATACAGTTGACTTCATCGACACTGAAGATTCAGGGATAGAGGACGATGTCATCGATAGACCAAGACCAAGGCAGCCCAGTGCCAGCTGATGGTGATACTGAAGCTTCCATATATGTCGTTTCTCCTTTTTCGCCCAATTTTTTGTATTCCTCCTCTTCTTCCTCTTCTTGAATTCTTCCTTCAATGCCTGTTTCATTTGCAGATACAGTTGACTTCATCGACACTGAAGATTCAGGTGTTAGAGAAGGGTGTCATCGATAGACCAAGACCAAGCAGCCCAGTGCCTGCTGATGGTGATACTGAAGCTTCCATATATGTCGTTTCTCCTTTTTCGCCCAATTTTTTGTATTCCTCCTCTTCTTCCTCTTCTTGAATCCTTCCTTCAATGCCTGTTTCATTTGCAGATACAGTTGACTTCATCGACACTGAAGATTCAGGGATAGAGGACGATGTCATCGATAGACCAAGACCAAGCAGCCCAGTGCCAGCTGATGGTGATACTGAAGCTTCCATATATGTCGTTTCTCCTTTTTCGCCCAATTTTTTGTATTCCTCCTCTTCTTCCTCCTCTTGAATTCTTTCCTCAATTCCTGTTTCATTTGCAGATACAGTTGACTTCATCGACACTGAAGATTCAGGGATAGAGGACGATGTCATCGATAGACCAAGACCAAGCAGCCCAGTGCCAGCTGATGGTGATACTGAAGCTTCCATATATGTCGTTTCTCCTTTTTCGCCCAATTTTTTGTATTCCTCCTCTTCTTCCTCTTCTTGAATTCTTCCTTCAATGCCTGTTTCATTTGCAGATACAGTTGACTTCATCGATACTGAAGATTCAGGGTATAGAGAAAGGTGTCATCGATAGACCAAGACCAAGCAGCCCAGTGCCTGCTGATGGTGATACTGGAGCTTCCATATATGTCGTTTCTCCCTTTTCTCCCGGTCTTTTCATTTCTTCTTCCTCCTCTTGAATTCTTTCCTCAATTCCTGTTTCATTTGCAGATACAGTTGACTTCATCGACACTGAAGATTCAGGTGATAGAGGAACGATGTCATCGATAGACCAAGACCAGGCAGCCCAGTGCCAGCTGATGGTGATACTGAAGCTTCCATATATGTCGTTTCTCCTTTTTCGCCCAATTTTTTGTATTCCTCCTCTTCTTCCTCTTCTTGAATCCTTCCTTCAATTCCTGTTTCATTTGCAGATACAGTTGACTTCATCGACACTGAAGATTCGGTGATAGAGAAGGTGTCATCGATAGACCAAGACCAAGCAGCCCAGTGCCTGCTGATGGTGATACTGAAGCTTCCATATATGTCGTTTCTCCTTTTTCGCCCAATTTTTGTATTCCTCCTCTTCTTCCTCTTCGTGAATTCTTCCTTCAATTCCTGTTTCATTTGCAGATACAGTTGACTTCATCGATCACTGAAGATTCAGGTGATAGAGGACGATGTCATCGATAGACCAAGACCAAGCAGCCCAGTGCCAGCTGATGGTGATACTGAAGCTTCCATATATGTCGTTTCTCCTTTTTTGCCCAATTTTTTGTATTCCTCCTCTTCTTCCTCTTCTTGAATCCTTCCTTCAACGCCTGTTTCATTTGCAGATACAGTTGACTTCATCGACACTGAAGATTCAGGTGATAGAGAAGGTGTCATCGATAGACCAAGACCAAGCAGCCCAGTGCCTGCTGATGGTGATACTGAAGCTTCCATATATGTCGTTTCTCCTTTTTCGCCCAATTTTTTGTATTCCTCCTCTTCTTCCTCTTCTTGAATTCTTCCTTCAATGCCTGTTTCATTTGCAGATACAGTTGACTTCATCGACACTGAAGATTCAGGTGATAGAGAAGGTGTCATCGATAGACCAAGACCAAGCAGCCCAGTGCCTGCTGATGGTGATACTGGAAGCTTCCATATATGTCGTTTCTCCCTTTTCTCCCGGTCTTTTCATTTCTTCTTCCTCCTCTTGAATTCTTTCCTTCAATTCCTGTTTCATTTGCAGATACAGTTGACTTCATCGACACTGAAGATTCAGGTATAGAGGAAAGGTGTCATCGATAGACCAAGACCAAGCAGCCCAGTGCCTGCTGATGGTGATACTGAAGCTTCCATATATGTCGTTTCTCCCTTTTCTCCCAGTCTTTTCATTTCTTCTTCCTCCTCTTGAATTCTTTCCTCAATTCCTGTTTCATTTGCAGATACAGTTGACTTCATCGACACTGAAGATTCAGGGATAGAGGACGATGTCATCGATAGACCAAGACCAGGCAGCCCAGTGCCAGCTGATGGTGATACTGAAGCTTCCATATATGTCGTTTCTCCTTTTTCGCCCAATTTTTTGTATTCCTCCTCTTCTTCCTCTTCTTGAATCCTTCCTTCAACGCCTGTTTCATTTGCAGATACAGTTGACTTCATCGACACTGAAGATTCAGGGATAGAGGACGATGTCATCGATAGACCAAGACCAAGCAGCCCAGTACCAGCTGATGGTGATACTGAAGCTTCCATATATGTCGTTTCTCCTTTTTCGCCCAATTTTTTGTATTCCTCCTCTTCTTCCTCTTCTTGAATTCTTCCTTCAATGCCTGTCTCATTTGCAGATACAGTTGACTTCATCGATACTGAAGATTCAGGTATAGAGAAAGGTGTCATCGATAGACCAAGACCAAGCAGCCCAGTGCCTGCTGATGGTGATACTGGAGCTTCCATATATGTCGTTTCTCCCTTTTCTCCCGGTCTTTTCATTTCTTCTTCCTCCTCTTGAATTCTTTCCTCAATTCCTGTTTCATTTGCAGATACAGTTGACTTCATCGACACTGAAGATTCAGGTATAGAGAAAGGTGTCATCGATAGACCAAGACCAAGCAGCCCAGTGCCTGCTGATGGTGATACTGAAGCTTCCATATATGTCGTTTCTCCTTTTTCGCCCATTTTTTGTATTCCTCCTCTTCTTCCTCTCGTGAATTCTTCCTTCAATTCCTGTTTCATTTGCAGATACAGTTGACTTCATCGATACTGAAGATTCAGGTGTAGAGAAGGGTGTCATCGATAGACCAAGACCAAGCAGCCCAGTGCCAGCTGATGGTGATACTGAAGCTTCCATATATGTCGTTTCTCCTTTTTTGCCCAATTTTTGTATTCCTCCTCTTCTTCCTCTTCTTGAATCCTTCCTTCAACGCCTGTTTCATTTGCAGATACAGTTGACTTCATCGACACTGAAGATTCAGGGATAGAGGACGATGTCATCGATAGACCAAGACCAAGCAGCCCGGTACCAGCTGATGGTGATACTGAAGCTTCCATATATGTCGTTTCTCCTTTTTCGCCCAATTTTTTGTATTCCTCCTCTTCTTCCTCTTCTTGAATTCTTCCTTCAATGCCTGTCTCATTTGCAGATACAGTTGACTTCATCGATACTGAAGATTCAGGTATAGAGAAAGGTGTCATCGATAGACCAAGACCAAGCAGCCCAGTGCCTGCTGATGGTGATACTGGAGCTTCCATATATGTCGTTTCTCCCTTTTCTCCCAGTCTTTTCATTTCTTCTTCCTCCTCTTGAATTCTTTCCTCAATTCCTGTTTCATTTGCAGATACAGTTGACTTCATCGACACTGAAGATTCAGGTATAGAGAAAGGTGTCATCGATAGACCAAGACCAAGCAGCCCAGTGCCTGCTGATGGTGATACTGAAGCTTCCATATATGTCGTTTCTCCCTTTTCTCCCGGTCTTTTCATTTCTTCTTCCTCCTCTTGAATTCTTTCCTCAATTCCTGTTTCATTTGCAGATACAGTTGACTTCATCGACACTGAAGATTCAGGGATAGAGGACGATGTCATCGATAGACCAAGACCAAGCAGCCCAGTGCCAGCTGATGGTGATACTGAAGCTTCCATATATGTCGTTTCTCCTTTTTCGCCCAATTTTTTGTATTCCTCCTCTTCTTCCTCTTCTTGAATCCTTCCTTCAACGCCTGTTTCATTTGCAGATACAGTTGACTTCATCGACACTGAAGATTCAGGGATAGAGGACGATGTCATCGATAGACCAAGACCAAGCAGCCCGGTACCAGCTGATGGTGATACTGAAGCTTCCATATATGTCGTTTCTCCTTTTTCGCCCAATTTTTTGTATTCCTCCTCTTCTTCCTCTTCTTGAATTCTTCCTTCAATGCCTGTCTCATTTGCAGATACAGTTGACTTCATCGATACTGAAGATTCAGGGATAGAGGACGATGTCATCGATAGACCAAGACCAAGCAGCCCAGTGCCAGCTGATGGTGATACTGAAGCTTCCATATATGTCGTTTCTCCTTTTTCGCCCAATTTTTTGTATTCCTCCTCTTCTTCCTCTTCTTGAATTCTTCCTTCAATGCCTGTCTCATTTGCAGATACAGTTGACTTCATCGATACTGAAGATTCAGGTATAGAGAAAGGTGTCATCGATAGACCAAGACCAAGCAGCCCAGTGCCTGCTGATGGTGATACTGGAGCTTCCATATATGTCGTTTCTCCCTTTTCTCCCGGTCTTTTCATTTCTTCTTCCTCCTCTTGAATTCTTTCCCCAATTCCTGTTTCATTTGCAGATACAGTTGACTTCATCGACACTGAAGATTCAGGTATAGAGAAAGGTGTCATCGATAGACCAAGACCAAGCAGCCCAGTGCCTGCTGATGGTGATACTGAAGCTTCCATATATGTCGTTTCTCCTTTTTCGCCCAATTTTTTGTATTCCTCCTCTTCTTCCTCTTCGTGAATTCTTCCTTCAATTCCTGTTTCATTTGCAGATACAGTTGACTTCATCGATACTGAAGATTCAGGTGATGAGAAGGGTGTCATCGATAGACCAAGACCAAGCAGCCCAGTGCCAGCTGATGGTGATACTGAAGCTTCCATATATGTCGTTTCTCCTTTTTTGCCCAATTTTTTGTATTCCTCCTCTTCTTCCTCTTCTTGAATCCTTCCTTCAACGCCTGTTTCATTTGCAGATACAGTTGACTTCATCGACACTGAAGATTCAGGGATAGAGGACGATGTCATCGATAGACCAAGACCAAGCAGCCCGGTACCAGCTGATGGTGATACTGAAGCTTCCATATATGTCGTTTCTCCTTTTTCGCCCAATTTTTTGTATTCCTCCTCTTCTTCCTCTTCTTGAATTCTTCCTTCAATGCCTGTCTCATTTGCAGATACAGTTGACTTCATCGATACTGAAGATTCAGGTATAGAGAAAGGTGTCATCGATAGACCAAGACCAAGCAGCCCAGTGCCTGCTGATGGTGATACTGGAGCTTCCATATATGTCGTTTCTCCCTTTTCTCCCGGTCTTTTCATTTCTACTTCCTCCTCTTGAATTCTTTCCTCAATTCCTGTTTCATTTGCAGATACAGTTGACTTCATCGACACTGAAGATTCAGGGATAGAGGACGATGTCATCGATAGACCAAGACCAGGCAGCCCAGTGCCAGCTGATGGTGATACTGAAGCTTCCATATATGTCGTTTCTCCTTTTTCGCCCAATTTTTTGTATTCCTCCTCTTCTTCCTCTTCTTGAATCCTTCCTTCAATGCCTGTCTCATTTGCAGATACAGTTGACTTCATCGACACTGAAGATTCAGGGATAGAGGACGATGTCATCGATAGACCAAGACCAAGCAGCCCAGTGCCTGCTGATGGTGATACTGAAGCTTCCATATATGTCGTTTCTCCTTTTTCGCCCAATTTTTTGTATTCCTCCTCTTCTTCCTCTTCGTGAATTCTTCCTTCAATTCCTGTTTCATTTGCAGATACAGTTGACTTCATCGATACTGAAGATTCAGGTGATGAGAAGGGTGTCATCGATAGACCAAGACCAAGCAGCCCAGTGCCAGCTGATGGTGATACTGAAGCTTCCATATATGTCGTTTCTCCTTTTTTGCCCAATTTTTTGTATTCCTCCTCTTCTTCCTCTTCTTGAATCCTTCCTTCAACGCCTGTTTCATTTGCAGATACAGTTGACTTCATCGACACTGAAGATTCAGGGATAGAGGACGATGTCATCGATAGACCAAGACCAAGCAGCCCGGTACCAGCTGATGGTGATACTGAAGCTTCCATATATGTCGTTTCTCCTTTTTCGCCCAATTTTTTGTATTCCTCCTCTTCTTCCTCTTCTTGAATTCTTCCTTCAATGCCTGTCTCATTTGCAGATACAGTTGACTTCATCGATACTGAAGATTCAGGTATAGAGAAAGGTGTCATCGATAGACCAAGACCAAGCAGCCCAGTGCCTGCTGATGGTGATACTGGAGCTTCCATATATGTCGTTTCTCCCTTTTCTCCCGGTCTTTTCATTTCTTCTTCCTCCTCTTGAATTCTTTCCCCAATTCCTGTTTCATTTGCAGATACAGTTGACTTCATCGACACTGAAGATTCAGGTATAGAGAAAGGTGTCATCGATAGACCAAGACCAAGCAGCCCAGTGCCTGCTGATGGTGATACTGGAGCTTCCATATATGTCGTTTCTCCCTTTTCTCCCGGTCTTTTCATTTCTTCTTCCTCCTCTTGAATTCTTTCCTCAATTCCTGTTTCATTTGCAGATACAGTTGACTTCATCGACACTGAAGATTCAGGGATAGAGGACGATGTCATCGATAGACCAAAACCAAGCAGCCCGGTACCAGCTGATGGTGATACTGAAGCTTCCATATATGTCGTTTCTCCTTTTTCGCCCAATTTTTTGTATTCCTCCTCTTCTTCCTCTTCTTGAATCCTTCCTTCAATGCCTGTCTCATTTGCAGATACAGTTGACTTCATCGACACTGAAGATTCAGGTATAGAGGACGATGTCATCGATAGACCAAGACCAAGCAGCCCGGTACCAGCTGATGGTGATACTGAAGCTTCCATATATGTCGTTTCTCCTTTTTCGCCCAATTTTTTGTATTCCTCCTCTTCTTCCTCTTCTTGAATCCTTCCTTCAACGCCTGTTTCATTTGCAGATACAGTTGACTTCATCGACACTGAAGATTCAGGGATAGAGGACGATGTCATCGATAGACCAAGACCAGGCAGCCCAGTGCCAGCTGATGGTGATACTGAAGCTTCCATATATGTCGTTTCTCCTTTTTTGCCCAATTTTTTGTATTCCTCCTCTTCTTCCTCTTCTTGAATCCTTCCTTCAACGCCTGTTTCATTTGCAGATACAGTTGACTTCATCGACACTGAAGATTCAGGGATAGAGGACGATGTCATCGATAGACCAAGACCAAGCAGCCCGGTACCAGCTGATGGTGATACTGAAGCTTCCATATATGTCGTTTCTCCTTTTTCGCCCAATTTTTTGTATTCCTCCTCTTCTTCCTCTTCTTGAATCCTTCCTTCAATGCCTGTCTCATTTGCAGATACAGTTGACTTCATCGACACTGAAGATTCAGGTATAGAGGACGATGTCATCGATAGACCAAGACCAAGCAGCCCGGTACCAGCTGATGGTGATACTGAAGCTTCCATATATGTCGTTTCTCCTTTTTCGCCCAATTTTTTGTATTCCTCCTCTTCTTCCTCTTCTTGAATCCTTCCTTCAACGCCTGTTTCATTTGCAGATACAGTTGACTTCATCGACACTGAAGATTCAGGTGTTGAGAAGGGTGTCATCGATAGACCAAGACCATGCAGCCCAGTGCCTGCTGATGGTGATACTGAAGCTTCCATATATGTCGTTTCTCCCTTTTCTCCCAGTCTTTTCATTTCTTCTTCCTCCTCTTGAATTCTTTCCTCAATTCCTGTTTCATTTGCAGATACAGTTGACTTCATCGACACTGAATATTCAGGGATAGAGGACGATGTCATCGATAGACCAAGACCAGGCAGCCCAGTGCCAGCTGATGGTGATACTGAAGCTTCCATATATGTCGTTTCTCCTTTTTTGCCCAATTTTTTGTATTCCTCCTCTTCTTCCTCTTCTTGAATCCTTCCTTCAACGCCTGTTTCATTTGCAGATACAGTTGACTTCATCGACACTGAAGATTCAGGGATAGAGGACGATGTCATCGATAGACCAAGACCAAGCAGCCCGGTACCAGCTGATGGTGATACTGAAGCTTCCATATATGTCGTTTCTCCTTTTTTGCCCAATTTTTTGTACTCCTCCTCTTCTTCCTCTTCTTGAGTTCTTCCTTCAATGCCAGTTTCAATTGCAGATATAGTTGACTTCATCGACACTGACAATTCTGGTTTCGAAAACAGTCCAACCGATACACCAAGACCAAGCGGCACAGTGCCAGCTGATGGTGATACTGAAGCTTCCATATATGTCGTTTTTCTCTTTTCTCCTAGTTCCTGATGTTGAATGATTTTTTCTAATTCTTCCAGAATTTTTTCTTCAAAATCGTTTTCATTTATAGCTTGAGTTGTGCTCATCAATATGTATGTTGAGGGTTTTGTTCCTTTATGCTCTTCTGAATGGTGTTTGCTGGTTTTGTCGGTTTTCCAAATTTCAGTGTTGTATGTCGTTTCTTCCGCGATCGTCCAAGTAGATGATTCTGCAGATGTTGCAGTGTTTTTGTCTTTTTCGGTTTGTGGAATGCAGGAACAGGTGCATGTGCATTGATTCTTTTTGATCTCTTTCATAAATGAATATTCTGAAATTGGTAATTGTTAGTTTTGTTTTATATTGAGAGTATTTACGATTCTTAACTTTTTCCTTGCATTTTTTTTCTTGAGTTCTGCATCATTTTTTTGTGTATTTCTGTGGCTATGGCATGCTTTTAGATATTTCCTGCTCGGTCCTGAAGTTTTTTGATTTCTGTGATTATTTGAAGTTTTTCTGAAAATTAGAATCATCTATGAATTATTCTTGTAGTGCTTTTTGTTTTGCATTTTTTAAGTCTGTCTCTGATGTGCAGGCCTTAGTTGTGGTTTTTTATCTTGGCTTACTCTTTGTTCTCTGCTAGTGATTTTTGATCATAGTGAAATTCTCTTTTTTAGTTAATATCTATTTGTCCTTTAACTACTCTTCAATTCCTTCTTTCCCACTCCAGGGAAGATTATGTTTAATGAAGATGTTTTACTTCTTTCTCATAACGGTTTTAATAATGTTGCTAGAAGTTATTTCAAATATCTGCTTCACGTTTTATCATCTTTCCCTTATCTGATTGCAAAATCCTTAAACTTTCCGGGAAGTACAACTCTATTCTTAGGAAGTATTTAATAACTTGTGCTAACATTGCATTTTTATTGTTTACAGTTGTTTTAAAGGAGGAGCAGATTATTTTTTCTCTGAGGCTTGTTTTAAAGACTGATTTCGTAGAATTTAGTAAACTTGCTTACTGATTTATAACCTAATAATTCATGTGTTTTGTTCACAAAACCTAATTCCATCTTTATACCTGTCGTATTTAATTTGTTTTATTTTTTTTAGTATTTCTTATCAGGTTCTAGTTCTTAAGAGTCTTAAAATCTTGATTTTAGCTTATTTTTGCTTCAACAGTAAACAAAATTTGAAACTGAGAAAAGATCGAAACCTTTCTGTCCATTTGCATGTGCTTTTTTATGTAATGCAGATTCGGTGGATATTGTAGCAGGAACACAAAATAACAGTACCAGCAATAGTAGGTTGTACATTTGCTGAAATCTAAATTTAGTTAAGCCATTAAACCTATGAAAATAAAATTGAAAAATATGATGCTAGTCATTGTTACTTATGTTCCATACGCGAGTTGCAGGAAAATATGAATGTAAAAAATGAATTGATAGCGGTTACTTTTTTCCAACATGAGACAGCTACCATTAAACTGGTTCAAGGTAAGCGGTTCTATTGCTTGAATTTATTAGCAACAAAAAATTTTGAAAATTCATTTGCACTTGTATGATTTAATGATGATGAACAGTTTTTGACGATTAGAGTTTTAGTATGATGTTTGCTTGTGGATTTAATTCTTAAATTTGAGTTTGAGTTATGATATCTTTTGTTATTTGTTACTTCCTCTTTGATAAATTAAAAAAAAAAAAAGGAAATGTGTGGGTGAATATGAAGGAGGTTAATAACATAAATTAGTTGACTTTTTGACTTTTTTTTTAACGATCATATCAAAAAATGTTCATCACTAATTACATTATTAATTTTAGCAGTTTTTTAATGAAAAAATTTGTAACTATTTTCGATAATGGTATAGCAGCAGGAATAAAAAGCTGTTATCAATAATATTGTCTTACATACTGATTCATTTAAATTGCGAGAATAATTAGTGTTACTGAAAATTCTTCAGTTTTTATGAAGTGCAGATTCTTGTCTAATAACTCAATTGTCATTCACAAACAAACCATTCACGATCAAGTTGATGCGTCTTTTTAAAATCAGCATGAGGTAAGCGGAAGAAGTTATTTTTATTTGATTTTTCATCAGCAGTACGAGAAACTTTAATTCATGTATTCACTTCCTTCATCGTGAATGATCGTGCGAAATTAAATGTTGTCCACAGTGAATAATGTTTACTATGGAAATTTGAAGGTAAAAAAATTTTGAAACATTAGTGAAGCAAAAGATTCAAAATCTGTAAACATTGAAAATGAACTGTCCGACGAAAATCAAGTAATTCGAACTTGCAACTGATGAAGTTATCATTAGTTTTTGTGGGGAACTTGTTATATCTTCATCAGATATGAAGAGAGTCTATAAACTGGCGTATTAACCAAATTGTATAAAATTAAAAAACAAGGCTGATCTGAAATAGCTATGCCTTAATTGCAGTAATTAAAGATTAATTTTTAACAATAATTCCTTATCATTGCGCAGTATAAAACACTGAGCAATGTAATATCTATTCTGATTGATTACACTGAACCGGCGATAGAAAAAGAATTCGCTGAAAAAAAAATAATGGTAGTATATATTAGTTGTCACTAATTAAATGAATGTATCTATCTTAGTCCAGGAGTAAAAGCTGAATAAAAGTTTGAAATCGATGAGGTTTTTTAATTAAAATTATTTACTAATTCTTTTCAATATAAATAACAAAAAAAATCTTTTCTGTTATATGTTCCAATTTGGAACTTCGTCACATACATTTCTTTCGTTTAATATTATCAATCTGAGATGGGTTTTGTTTCGTACATCAATTAATTTGAATTAATCATTTAATTTATATTTATGTAATTGCAGTTGATTATTAGCACCTCCTAATACTTCTTGAATCACTTAAATACTCGAAAAGCCATTTTTTGCATTCTTTCAGCACTTACAACGTACTTAAAGAAACAATGCACTTCTACATCCATTTCACAATAGCATTTAGAGATTGCTAAAGAATTGAAAATGATAGTAATTTCTTTAATCTTCCCTTAATTAGTTTACAATAAAAGCTTAATTTCTTACCTCAACTCTACTCCAGTTATTATGTCAATAGAAGAAATAATAATTATTGTACAGAACTATAATTATTTATATAAAAAAGTGAGTGTAGAAGGATGTTTGATAGATAACCTCACATTTTTCCATCTTAGAACTGTTTAGTTATGAATCAAGTGCGAATCACCGTAATATTATTGTTATTATCTTTATAATATTAGAGCATTAACAATGTATTTCTTGCTGTGTACTTATTTTTGCTGTTTTGAGAAATTCTATTAGCCAGTGAAATATGTTTCATTGTTCTTGTTGTATACAAAAAAAAGCTGGAAAGTTTTAATACACTTAAATACAGTGTCATAATTTGCTAAACATATTACTTTAAAAAGTTACTGTTGTTGTTAATTACTACCGTTAATAAGTTGTTGGAATGGTATAAGACGTTTTGTAAGTGTATAGTAGTAAAAGTTTAAATTTATGCTCATTAGAGCGCAAATTTTTGCATAATTTTGCTGCATAAATCTGAACCTGGAGAGAAAAGCAAAGAGGCATAAAAATTATGTGCCACTGAAAGTTGGTTCTCAATATTTAAAGTTAAGTTGTTTTTTGCTAGCAGTTGAAGGAAAAAAAATTTTATGCAATTGAAGTGATCGGTAAATGACAGAGTTAAGACGAGTGTAACTACGAATATTTTTAGGATTTTCTAGTGCTATTCACAATTATATTGTCATTTATTAATCAAATATCAAAGTCAGGTTTGTTCCTTGTTAAAAAGGGTTTAAAATAAAATTGCCTTATGTTGCAACGCGCTGTAGTCGAAAGAGATATATTTTTGTGTAAGGAAGAGAAAAAGGAATGAAAATTTGTTTTATGAACATACAATAAAGCAGGAACTCAGTAATATTTTTTAAATCAAAAAAGTTTAAATTTTATGACGATGAAAATTATAAAATGATATTTGAGAGACGGATGGGAAGATATATCTGCAATGTGTTGGTTATGCAGTATGATTTCACACCAGAGTATGAAAAATTCATCTTGAACAATTAAGTTATTTTTAATTTTCTGGCTAAACCCTAAGAAAATACGTCGCGTTTCTTGAAAATAACATAAAGCCAGCAATTTAAGACAAATAAAGAGGAGAAGTAAAATGAAATGATACTTTCAAAAGATTCTAGGCGTTAATTATACTTGCTATACATGACAAAAAATAAACTTAAAAAACAAAAGATTCAAAAAAACTTCAAAAACCACTGCAAAATGATCATTGATTTTCGTTCCTGTCAAGCAATGTAATACTTCGTTGACCCTGAATGGATAAAGCCATGCGTAAACTTCCAACAAGGTAAGTCATATGATTTATAGTATTAGAAACCCTGCCAACATTCGTGGTGATCACAGGATTCAACTAAAACGCATTCGAATTTTCGCCATTTATTTAAAACTTTTGAAAATATATTTCACAGAGTTGCTAATCTCTCATCACTCATTGTGATAACTCAGTGGGAGAATATGATAAATTCTGCTGAATTCATTTGTTTCAATCTATCTACCATTTTCCCTCGCATAAAAACGCTGCACAAACAAACGTTTACTCAGATAAATGGAATTTATTTCCATGACCTCAAAAAAATGATTTAAAAATTTTTCTCGATAGCAAAACATACGGTAAAAATTATGAATATACAAAATGCTGGCGCAATAAAGCATTTTCAGCAAAAAATTGATTTTGCAACCGATAACCATGACATTGAAAATATGGCCGGGTGTATGAGGTGACGAATAGGCAGAAAAAGATGAGACGATGAAATTGGATGTAATGAAAATAAAAAATAAAACCTTGCTTTTAATGGAATTATTTATTTGAAGGAAAAGATTTTCTTCATTATTTTTACAGAGCTACTTTTGCAATAAAAATTAAAGTTGATTATATTAACACCTTGCTCATATAACAAAACATAAGATTCTTAAATTTGATAAGTAAAAATTCTGATAGGAAACTTGAATTTACACTTGCCACTACCTAGATCTCATTATACAAAAAACTTTGAAGCTGATAAGTTGATAAGCTAAGGCTGTTGACTAAAACTGTCAAAGCTGAACTTTAATGACTTACTTCAGACTAAATATCCTTATTTTTAAATCTTGATAAATCTCATTTGTGACTAATTGAATACCTTTATGTAAAACAGTTGTATAAAAAGAATTAACCATTAAACTCCTTCAAAACATTGAACTCTTTAAACCATCCTAAAAGTGTTTCACTTCGACGATTAGTACTTTAATATGTTAGAGAATTATAGCAATAATTATTTATGTACAAAATGAAAACTAGAACAAGAAAATTTTGCTATATTAGCTTTTTGCAAAAAATTATTTAAAATTAGGGAAATCTATAAGATAAAGATCATTTCAGGAGAAATAGCAAAAATAACTGGAAAATTAATTAGCGTAAATGATACGCTTCTTGTCTTGAAGGTCATTTTGCAAACAATAGTATCATTATAATAAATGTTGGAAAGAATTATAGCCTTTAAACTTGACAAAAATGATAATGATATACAGGTTAATACAATTCTTCAAAGCAAATTTTAGGACAAGAAAAAGACTCCAACATTTTTACTGTTCCTTATCTTAACCTCATCTCTTTTACTGCTTTCTCTTTTATTTCCATTACCGCAAAAAGCTTTATGAATGCTGCCAATCACTAGAATAGTGCTAATATTATTCACATGGTTTCATTTTTCTCCTAAGTTACTTGTACTATTAGTTTCATTTTTCTCCTAAGTTACTTGTATTATTGATAATGTAATGTATTACCAATATAACTTTACGAAATTAGTAATTATAATTTCAAAGGTGCCGAATATTATTAATTATTTGTCATCCATGTTTAATACTAATTAGATTAAAAGAACAGCTTAATGATTGGCATCACGAATTTTATTTAAGAATGCTGAAAGCCAGTGTACGTTTTGATAACATTAAGAGTTAAGATTTATTGAATAACTGCTGATTGTCTGACAAAGCCATTATGTGATCCATTATGTGATTATGTGATCAGTCTGGTACAGAAATATTTTTAAGAAAAAGTTGAGCATTATATAAAAAATGTTGGTATTTCTTAATTTAATAAAAAAAGACCAACTGAAGTACTATCTTCTATTAAAAAATCTTGTCTCATCTTTCAACCCTTTTTGTGCAAGAATTGTGAAAAGTACCCTTCCTAATTTTTCTTATATTTTTTTCTAAGTTCTATAGTTTAAAATCATTTTCAATTTTTAAAGTTCTACTTTACATTAATTTGAATTACTAATATAACGAGTATAGTTTTTGCAAAATTTATTTGCTAAATTTTGCAAAAGATATTCTTAAATACAAGTACCTTATTCTTGATTACGTTTTATTTTCTTACAATATCTTGATTTTAGTTTTGGTTCTACTAAGATATTATTGAATATTCTTGGATATACCATATGTACTACACTCAGAAGAACTGCTTTCAAAAATTGCAGTCTACTTAATTTATTCACCATTTCTGAATTGCTTACCAGAGATTAAACAATAATTTAACTGGATTGCTTAATATTAATAGCTCTGATCTGTCGGAAAAGGCGAATTACCGATTAAAAAACTCTTTGGCCAGATTATTGCCATAAATATAGATTATAGAGATGCTGATGCATGATATTTGAATGGAAATAATGTGTAAAAATTGCTGTTAGCTAATTCAGAACCCGTAAGGAAGGACAGCAGATGGAAGATCTGATATGAAATGATTATGCTCATTTCAACCACCTATTGTTCAGTTGACAATTATTGATGTCGGATCAAATAATTGCATTAAAAAAAAAAAAAAAAAAAAAAAAAAAAAAGAAAAACGCTACTCATCTTCACCGAGTAAAGCTATCGCGTTATTCACAAGTTTTAGATGTTGCTTCTACCCAAAATTATGACTAGAATGTTAATGGATTACCATGAATTGATTACTTCTTCCGATCGTTAAAAAGTAACATTTCTTGTTCTCCTAACTGTTTCTCTTTGTATTCCTGAATTAATTCAGTTTACTGAATTTGAAAATTTCATACTATCATATAGATATGGTTAGCAAATTCATAAACACATCTATATGAACATGCAAACTATAAATCATTTAATTATTGTATTGGAAGTGTCAGGTAAGAAGGTATGGAATGAGGATAATGAACTCTCGATGGCTCTAGCAAGAGTTTTTGAGCGATTATTCAATATTTTTTCTTAAAAAAAACATGTTGTTGCCATAACCTTGACCCATCAATTACGTATTTGACAAATTGACGATGGTGATAATTGTGGTAAAGTTGTAACTGCAACTATTATTATAGTGGTAATGGCGGAAAGGATAGGTACGATTATCAGATTAGCATCATAATGGTCCAATAATAAAGAAGTTTTTAATTTTTTTTTTTGGAAATTTTTTTAGAAAGTTTGAATACATAGACGTGCTCTAAAGAAATAAAAAAGATCATTCCTTTCACATATAATCATTGTCTCCTATTATTCTTCAGTGTTGTCATGTAATAAATTTAAATTTGCATCTCTTTCTTCTGCTAACTTTCTTAGGCTTACAGAATTGCACAAGTGAACAGACTGTCTTATAAATGTTTATGTATGGTATCCTAAGTATGGTATCCTAAGAAGCTGTCATAAAGAGCTGGAAATTTTTTTCCGCTAATTTAGAGTAAAATATCGTTTTAAAAATGTATTTTGAAAATGATTATTTATGTAATTATTGAAATCATTTTTTCTAACAAAATATGGAATAATTGCCAATAAAAAATGCTACATTATCCGACAATTACTCATTTTCATGAAAACAAAGCAAATTTTGGTCCACACGAATTGTATTTGTTTTTTCGTAGGTATAATAAGTTGACTCATTATATTTATAAATTGACTCATTGTACCTAATTGATACGGCAAATGTATCAGGAAGTTTTTGAAGATATGGTAACAAGGAATAGCTAAACTGAAATAAGATAGAAAACAAATAGGATCAAAAATAAATTCAAAAATTTTCATGTATTAAGCATTTATAAATGAAACAAATATTTTTATAAAAATGCCAAAAGAAAGTGAAAAGCGCAAATAAATACAAAGAAATAATTAACTTGTGGACATTTTCGCAGAGATTTCTATGATGAACAATTTCTAAAATTCTTTGATCCTGTTTAGGGCTAAAAAAAACCGTAATTACAATGATTAATTTTCTTTCGTCATAATTACAACAGTACCTTCTGCTAGATCAGCTGGTTTTGCAAACACAAAATTGAAATTTTATATTTCAAGAACAATCATTGGCAATTGACTTTTCTTTTATGAAAACTTAGATTTTATTTACAAATACGTTGATGTAGGAGTGATTGATTCACTTGTTCTTTTTTAGAGGAAATGAAGATTTCTTAGACTGTTACAAATGACCTTCTCATTGCTAAAAGTACTGAGGCAGATTATGACCTATGTTATCATAATATCATTGTTATCCTTGTTGATTCATTATGGTTAAGGTGTACGGAAGAGAAAATAGATTGTAGATCAGATCTGTATTCAATTTATTGAGTAGTCTGAATTATGTACAGTCCTTTTGATCTCTACAATATTTCATAAGAGTAATAATTTTGGCAGTTATAAAATGAATTACGTTCAATTCAAAAGATTCATCTTAAGTTATTACACGTCACCAGAAAACTTTGTTTTCAAATTTTTTATCAATGAAAACTTTGTTTTCAAATTTTTTGCTTGGGATTTAAGAATTTATCGCAACCTTATTATCACTCGAGATTCTCCGCTGCGCTTTGCTTCACTTAATCTATGTATGACTGAAGTTGCACTTTCTGACGTACATTTTTATCGTCAGTTATCAAAGCAGTTATCAAACATTATATTAGTGATATTACAATAGCAGTTGCTTTTTTGACCGGCTAACTCTTTTAAAATACTGTTTATCTTAGATATTACTTTCAATGCTGCAACAATTTATTGCTTTAGTCATGTTAATTTGTTTTTTTCGAATTAGTCGAAATGCGCCACTGATTTATTTGAATAAATCTACTTTCAAGCTTTGATTCTTTTTAACAGTTAATCACGGTTTTCTTCTTTTTACATTGCATTCCGCAAATTTCAGCACTATGTATTATCACGCATTCTGAAACATGTTTCAAGATATGATCACTGAAAAATGTACAGACATATTAATATGCACTATTACAATAAATAATGTAATGATGCAGAATCATCCATACAACACTTGTGATGAGGAAAAAACAAATGTGAAGATAACAAGCAGTCATCAAAAATTTTTTGAATTAATAATTAAACAAAGACTGTAAATGAAAATACTAGTACAAAATAGATTTTTATTTTTCGACGGAAAAATCAATAAATTAAAAAAAAAAAGTGTGAATTGATATAAAATATAAAACAGCGATATTGTGAGTCTACGTACAAAGAAAAGATCATTTTAATAACCAAAATTGAAGCTAAATAGTTAATTATTTATTAATAACAGAACTCAAAAATTATGTAATATCCAGTAGAACATATGATGCAGGATTTTAAAAAAACCATATACTTTTCGGGAAATTTCGACAGTATAAAAGCATGTAATTTTTAAGTGTATGTCAATTAACTGAATCTTTATTTCGTGTAAAATTAATCTGATGAAATTTTCAGTTTTCAAAAAACAAATTCGAAATAATTGGTTTTACGTTGTTCAAATCGAATTACTAACTTTTAATGTGGTATAACTGCAGATAATTTAGACGATAAAAGGTCAGAAATTTTTTTTTGAGTGAGCGAAAGAAAGAGACGATAAACCGGCGATGACTGTTTTTGTTTTCAGTATCACAGCTTGCAGAATATTTCATGAACCGATGCACTGGATTATTTATTTACTTAGCTTCTTATCGCAGAGTACAAAATAAGTACACTGAAAATTACCCATCCTAAATTTGCGCATCACTTGGTCAAAATCTGAAATGAAAATATCAATGAAAAAAAGCAACATTATTTTCAAAATAATTTTTAATGCTTTTAATTTTTAGATAATTGACTAATTGTTATCGCGAAATTTACAATATTAAAAATAAAATTTTAATGAAAAAAAAAAAAAAAATGAAGGTAAGAAACATGGTTAATGAACAAATAATGCTTATCCATAAACTCTTTGTTTCAACCATGTTTTATACGTAAACTCTTTGTTTTAAGCATGCTTATACTGTAAACCCTTTATTCATTGTTCATAATAATGCTTATAGCTATAAATTCTTTGTTCCTAATGTTTCTATCATAAGTCCATTGTATATTGTTCCCTACTTATATTTAAACCCAATTGCCTTCCCCTTTCTTTGTTCACATTATGACGGACTATCTCTGAAGCCTAACAAGGAATTCAATATCACCATTCCCAGATATGTGTTGTATTAAAATAATTGCAGTTAACCAAAAATGGATCTCGACTGTGGTCTTCTCAACTTGCACCTTACTCTTTAACTTCATATTATACTATTCTGTTAACAGAGGAGATATCATATTCCTGTGCTACTCCACATGTTTACATGCATGAAACAAATCTCCTCGAAATCAGCACACCTGCCAAATACTTTTTTCCAGAACATTGACAGCCTTGGCTGGATTAAACTTCTGTAATATTTTCTTTTCCAGACCAATAATGTTGCAGCCAGGTTTATGTTACCAATCAAATGCTTTTCAGTTCAATCAAAATCATCATTTCTTCCCGACATGATAAAAGTTTCCTCCCTGTCTATCAAATTTCTAAAATGGGCAGAAAGATGAAAACTAACCAGCATCGAAAGTGTTCAATTCCACACACACTTGTCCATCATTTTTACCAATTTTTAAATTTGTATCGTCAAGCTTCCAGTTCTTTATCATTTTTTAAAAGAATAGTCATATCATTGTTTTCAGTTGAAGGACATTTCTTTATACAAAATTAATCAAGTTATCGAGCTAGGATGAAGCAAATAGCCAAATATCCTTTATAATTTATTTGTTCTACTTCGATGTTAAAGAAAACGAACACTGCTAAAATTATTTAAGCATCTTTAGTACCAAAAAAGCATGGTCAAATTCACCAGATAACTGAAATAACAAGTTATTTACAAGCAACACTGAACCTAACGAATTTATTTGTTTGTCTTACTTTTTTCTGTCAAAAGTAATTTTGAATTAGTTAATAGAGGGTACAAATAATTTTTTTTATAAATATCTTTGAACTTTGAGTTCTCGAGAGTTCCACTTTCAAAACCTGTTGATGAGAAACTAATTTTCATAGAACTTGAGCTTGCAAAAAAAAAAATTATTGAAAAGGTTTTCAAGTCTTTTTCGGAACCTGAATTTTCTCCAAATAGTCTTAAAATTTTTAGAATTTTTAGATTTAAAAAATTTTAAACTTCTAACCAAGTGGAAGAAACTGTCTCTGTCTTTATCATATACATTTAGAAATTATCAAATTTGCGTGCTTCTTTATTGATTTTTGCAAATGACAAGTGAATACTGCATCTGAAGTTTCGCTTTCATCTATTTGCAAGAAAATAGATTTCAAATCACTAGTAACTGAATAGAATATAAACTGAAGAAAAATTGTAATGAAACATTCCAAAATGTATGAAAATACATATATTTCTTCAAAAAATCCCAAAAAATTTGTAGGACGGAAATGCTTTAAGGAGTGTATCATAAATATCCAAAGAACGGTTCATAAATTTAGCTTTGGAATAGTTGTTTTAAATGTTCATCTCGGAATTCTAAAAAAAAACCACAGATTCTCTTAGAACACCAAGAAAACTTGGGAAGAAAACAATAAATACTTGAAAATAATCAAAATTGATAACGAATAATGCACTTCGGATATTTGATTTAGATAATTAGAATATTTGATAAATCGTTTTGTTAGTATTATATCAGTACCAACTACCGTTACCAACTGCAGGTTTTTAAGTAAAGATGCAAAGTGTCTGAAAAGAAAATGTGAAAAAAAATTATTGAGAAATTAGGGAAAGCATGAAAACAAAGAGTACTTTTTAGAGTTTTAATTTTTTTTCTTAAAAAAAATACAACTTTTATTTATTGAAACTAAAAAAAAAGAGGTAGCACTCATAATTTTTTTCTTCCTTCGTCGTTAAAATTATAACTTTCAACAAAACAAGGCAGTCATTAGGCTAAAGCCCATTACATTATAGAACTTTTTATTTGGTAATAAATTTTTCACAATAAAAGACAGAATCACCTAATCCTTCCAAATATAACAACGAGTAATGTGTTTTTTATCTATAATTCAGTATTAAGAGTCATTAAACTGATCTGGCCATCAATTCTTCCATATATCACTTATATATTAAAGAATTGTCCGGATTAATCAGTTATCAAAACTTAATATTGCTTCCAATTATCCCACCTCTTACAATAACAAAATTACACCACATATTCCAACTTCTTGTAAACTTTATTATACAGGCGCGTTGATCTTTTTCATCGATATGTCAAATAAATGCAGTCATGAACATCTCAAATGATTGTTGAATATGTAATTTACTGTGCTATTGTGTATATGTCTAGTTATATTTCGGTTTTCTGTTCTATCACTCAGCCAAACAAAGCTTTATGATGTAATAAGCTTAAAAAAGCCTTACAACTATCTATTTTGCTCTAAAACGGTTACACTTTTAACAAGGAAAATCGAAGAAATTATGAAAGCTATTTTGTAAAAGTCTTTACCTAACATAACTTTTTTTTTTCAGCTACCAAGATAGGCAAGTAATGTCAGCACTTAGAAAAAGTATTTGAAGGAAATAAATTTTAGTTAAGTAAAGAGTGTCAGAAGTAATGGAAGTGCCAGAAAACAGAATTAAAATTGAAATGAAACTGCATTGTATCTAAAGAGCTAAAAACTGTCCCAACTAAATTGCAATGTTACATCCAGTGCCGATATAAAACCAAATACTTACTGTGTGAAGAGTAAAGATTATCTGATAGATGTAGACAGCTCTTTATTCATTGTAATTATGTGTTTGTTGCAAGCTAATGTCCACTATATAAAGATTAAAACATTGTCTTGGAAAGGTTTTTAGGATCAGTGAGCTTTAATTTGGTTGGTACCATTCATATCCCTTTGTTTATATCCTTTACCTTTTTTCGCATTTATTTATTTCTTCCGCTTCATTCTACACTCATAAATAACACCTCAGTAAAATTTATCAATATTGTAAATATAAACAGTTTATGTTACCTAGTTCTTTGCGAATAAAATTAAAGTCCATTACAGGACACATTTGTCTGTGCAAACTTCAAATCACAAATAAAAAGCTACGTTAAAAGTCTGTATAAATTCTTTACAGGGAAAATACAAAATCAGAAATAATTGCGTTCAAAAGATTAAAACAGTTTTAGCTGAAGGAATATAATGAATGATAACATTTGTGTTGGACTAGTGAATGGAATATTGTTTAAGTGTGTTATGACATTAATTATTTGAAATCGAAAGTGATTGTGAAGCGCAGTTGGTGTAACAGCCATCGGTATAAATTAATGTTCATCCGTCCGCTTTTAACATTCAATTATTCAATTTTGTTTACTCTTTTAATCATTAACAGCATGCAAAATGACAAGAATTTATAGCAGTGTTTAAATGTATGTACCTGTTTCTGCTCTAACTGATTCCTTTGATTTGTTTCTAAATTAACTTTTATCTCCTTTAGCACTATTTTGAAGATTTACTATGATAGAGAGAAAAAAGTACTACTTCTAAAAATAATGGAATTCTCCTGTCTTTATTAGTCCAAGTAATTGCAAACCAAAGATTAGGAGTTGGAACTATAAATTTAAGAAATTAAAAATTTTTTTAAATTTCAGCTTTTATTCCTTATTTTTAATTCCTGTTATACAATGAGGCGAATTGTTTCGAAAACTTTAGACACACCTTGTTTATCAGGATTTTACATAAATTTCATTATAATAAAATTGTCAATAAAAATTGCTGAAACTTAAGATTCTTTTTCCTTCTGCATTTTATCAAAAATTATCAAATTAAAACCATCTAATGTGATTTAGTTGAGTGCTTAACATTATTTTATGTTGAAATATGTGACAATGCAAGTATTTTTATTCATTATTCTGAAAATAACCAAGACAAGTATAAGACAAGTAATTAGCACAAGCTTTTTGTAGCTAACACTAATAATAACATTAACACTATTCAATAACAATAATAACAAAATAACAAAACAATAATGACAAATAGATAAGCAAATAAATAAGTAAAACAATAATGATAGTAATAATAACAATAATAATAAAGCAATAATAACAATAGTGATAACGATAGTAATAACAACAGTAATAAATTATTAAAATATGTCACTTCCAATCATCTTTTCTTATTAATATAAAATGAAAAATTTAAAAAAAAAAATGACAAATTAATTTAATCGATTCTACCTCTTCCCTTATTTCTATACTTCTTCACTGTAACCTGTCCGTCACCAATTCAAATTAAACAACAAATTCAATTTCAGTGATCTGTTTATCACTAATCCGAATTGTGCTATGTTCTAAATTTCAGAATTACATTGATTACACGAATGAAAACTCCCGCTCATGTGATGAATGATTTTTGCACAACTATTAGGAAAGCGCTATGATATTTGAAGTTATTATTATTTGTTATGTTTATCATTTTTTGGTATGCTTATTCGTTTATTTTGGCCAGCTTTTGCAATAATGAATTCAATTCTTTTTGTTAATTGTTTTAAAAGTTTTTTCAAATTAATATTATTAATTAGCAGACAGAATCAAAGTTTACTCAATGAAATTTTTAATGCAATATATAGTGGCTATCGTCACAAAGTGCCGAAAAAAAGACTTTTGAAAAGTCTCAACAAAAATTGCAGAGACTAAGTAATCAGTTATAGATTGATTATTCACATTAAGCGCATAAATTGCACTGTCAAATGAAGGCACATTGGCCATAAATAATCAAATGTATCATAAGCTTGCATTTCTTTAAAGGTCCAAGACTATGAAAAAGTTTTTGGGAACTTTCACAATTTCTTACTTTGAAAGGAATATATCACCTTTAACACATAAAATTTAGCCTCAGCAAAGGACATAGGAAAGTGTAGTTAATACAAGGTCTAATGTGAATGATAGAAAGAAGTGGTCAATTGACAAAAATTGCCACTTCACTTTATTAATTTGGAAAGATTTGGTAACTAATCTTTTAAATAATTAATAATCTATGAGTCTGTCAAATATGTAACAAAATTTTGTTAGGAATTCAGTGTTTGTGAATAAACACTTTCTCTCAAAATTATCATCAAAGTATTTCTTTTGAGAGTAATTTACACAATCTTCATAAAAGATCTTTGTTGAGTTCATTGGCGATACCTGTATTCACTTCGTAGACATTCCTTCCACTAGAATATTCATGTGCTAAGCTCAAACCATTCAACTGTTCTGTCTCTTCTGGTCGAGCTAGAATGCAATACGTACACGGGGAATAATTAGACTATAAACCAGTTTCAAGTACACATCTGCATGATTGTCCCAAAAAACGAAGAATCAAATCTAATCTACGGTCTAGAATTTGAAAAAGGCTACTAACTATGAAACACAGTCGAAAAAGTATCTCAAGATTCCTTATACAATGACCAGAAAATGCTGCATAATGCAGGTATAAATAGCGGATAAAATATATACTGCCAACTTCGAATAATCATGTCTCTTTCAAGAAAGCAATCATCGCATAATTATATCAGTTATGAAGTATTATCATTACTAGGCCTGCTGGTGATATGAATTATGATACAATTTGCTTTTTAAAAACTAACCGATATAATCAAGCGTCGGCTTCCTTCGGATGATTTTGTGCAGAAAGCACTTCTCCCAGCAGAGACAAACTATGATGAGTATTGTTAGTAAGGCAAAAGTAACAATCAATATTGTAGATAATACTGCTGATAAACTGAAATTTCATTAATTTTCCATATGACATCAAATTTGGAAATGTTAATTAAAATAAAATGCGCACTTTTTCCTTCTATTTGCTTAGTTCGATGCTATAAGAAAAGCAGACTAAATATTTTGACTTAAAGAATTATAAGAGATATCGTTTTCAAAGAGCATTATGATTTCTCCACTTTCCGTTCAACAATTTAGTACATTTTTCGACATATAGATTTGTTCATAAATCCAATGTAGAGCTTATGCTAGGTTAATTCATAAAATTCTTCACATTCTTGTTCTCATAATGGACATTTGAACCCAACATATTTCTCTTAATTTTGCTAATGTTTAGTCCACAAATTCTTTATTAAATTCCTCTTATTGAAGCTGAATGAATGGCAACATGTCGGCATCTAGTCTACAAGGACTAAGCATACTACCATGAAATTGTTCACAACAATGTTTAGCATATACTGCGTTTGGAAATTTTAATCAGTTTATTTTGAAAAAAAAAAATAATATCAAGTTAAGGCCTAGCAGATACTATCCTCTTCCTTTGAGTTGAAATTTCTTAACTACTTATCATTACTACTAAGAGATAACAACATCATTTCTACTGTTAACAAGAAATAAACGCAGTTACTGATTCTCGAGAAATGTCGGTTCACGGCAGCAATTAATTTTAGGCGGATTGCAGCATTGATTCTCCGTTTCACGATGAAGTTTTGTCGGACATACATATGTATTTACATGCCGCCTTGTTTCTGGTGATATTACGCCACCGCACTGAACTCGTTCTGAATATTTAAAAATTTCTTAATTCATATTCTCTCTCTCCGGAATCGTTATGTTGCTAGTGTCAGCATTTTGTAAATGAATATAATCAACTATTTCTTTAAGGAATTTCGAGGAATCAACAATTCTAAATAATATTGAGCTTATCGAGATAAATATCACTGAAATTCAAATGGATTCCAAAATAGAATGGTGGTATTAGCGAAGGAGAAAATGGATCTACTTAATCTATTTAACAATGTAAGAATTTAAAAACCATTAATGTTTAAAATAAATATCAAAATAGAAAGTTACGAAGAACATTAGCATCACCAGCATGAACAGCGAATAAAGAGCATGAACAAATGCCAATAATCGTACATAGCGCTTTTCTCATTTCCAGAAATTATAACTGAAATAAAGAAAATAGAGATTTCTTGAAGTTGTCAAAAAATTTTTTTGCATTAAAAATGATAATGGGCGAGCAAAATGCACGAGTGTCATTTATCATAATAAATTTTTTAATTTATCGCATTAGATTTTTAAGGCTTGCTTTTTCCAATTAATAGACCAAATTTATAAATAACATCAGCAAAAAAAAAAAAAAAAAAAAAAAAAAAAAAAACCAAGGAGAAAAATTGTGTTATTGTTTGCAGTTAGATTTATGTTTCGAAGCTGAACATAGAAAAATTGAACTTTTTTCATCAACAGAATTGAGAAAGGGACTAACCCTATAAAATTCACAAATTTTCTGAAAACAAAGTTTCAGGCAAAATAAAGTTCACTTCTAATTAAATAAAAAACGCTTTCTGAATTATCTGGGGAAGTGTTTTGTTTTTAAGCACAGGTTTTGTTTTGAAAAGAAAAATGATGACATATTACATTACTTTAGTTATATCATGATAAAAATGTGATGGAGTCAGAGAATGGGGACATACCCGAATGGAAAGGAAGAAAATGGAAGGTGAAATAAAAATAAGCTCCATTTCGATCTTTTTTGAATGCAGAAGCATTCGATAGTAAATGTTTGTCAATTGATTCCCATTACATAACAAATGTTCCAATCGCCGTATTGAAAAGAAGCAAACAGATATAATTGCTAACGGTGACTGACTATAAAATTCAACTAAATTTTAAAATTTCTACAAAATTCCTTTTTCAAATTTATAAAAAACCGGATTGAATACTAATTCCTAGTTGTGCCTTTTCCATTTCTGCTTCTATCATTCATTCATCACTACCAATATTTCCACATTATTCCAATAGTATTATTAACAGCATTTTTTTCACCGGCAAAGTAGTGATTTTTTTCTCCTGGCAAAACTTTTCCCTCTACAAATGAATATTCGGCTGAAACAGCCGAGTGATTTCAACTTTTCTGTTTACATCATTTCCTGCTAAGAGAAAACTAACGCGGATATTTGTTAGTTTTGCCAAAATATAAAATGTGCATTTTAGACATTTCCCTAATCAGTCTTCCACTTTCCTTCTATTTTAATCGTCTATGTGCGCAAATCTATTTGCAGAAAGTAAGAGTTCACTGAAGCATCAATATCATTTTGTTTAGTTAAATTAGCGCAATAGAAAATTCGAGATGAGGAAGAAATTAGAATAATTTGCAAATGAACAAAACAAAAGTTCTAGGAAATAGTTTTTTCAATTTGAAAAAAAAAGTTCATTTTATCTCACGAATTTGTTTCTTAAACAATATTATAAAAATCAGATAGGTAAAATGATTTGAATAAATATATTTGTTAAGACTAATAATGTTTGCAGCATTTGATCAATTATTCACTATAATTTTGTATTTTGATAAATTTTTACAGTTTAAAATTATAACATGTAATCATTATGATTATTATTTTTGTCATTGTACTGAATTTTGGAAAGCTAATTTGCTGCAGAGCTTGCTTATAATTACTTCATGTGCTACATAAATGGGATGAAATTTCTTCAGCTAATTACTATCTTCACTTTTCTTCCCATTCTTCTGGTCATCTTCCATGTAAAAGCAATGAACAAACTTTGATAACAGTCTTATCTAACATTTTAAAATGAACAAATGTGCAAAACCTATCTAATTGTTTAATATTGCTCAGAAATTTTATATTAAGTGGTCTAAGATATATAAGAGTTGAAAAGGTTACTGATTAAAAAACGAAGTTAAAAAAAGCAGACGAAAAAATATATTTAATAACCTCGAATATCGAATACCGACTTTCAAGAACACAACTAGCTCATAACTGCATCACATACAAAGTTTTTTGGCAAGGAATAATTAAGTGAGAATTATATTACTATCTAAGTCTAATAGTGAGAATAAATCAAGATTGAAAAAAAAAAAGAGACAACCACATGATGCCTTTTTTCTTTCTTTAATCACTTAAAATACAAAGATTTCAACAAAGATACATTGATAAAAAAGATTTTGCGAACAGAACGATATGTAAATAAATTTCTTTCCACTATATATTATCTCATTCAAAATTATAGAATTTCATCGTAATGGAGCCAGTTTTATCGCAAAAGAAAAAATCGATTGCTATTATTGAGTTTAAAAAAGCAAATTGCAACCTATAATTAACTCAACATTTTCATATTTCCGCGATTTCATCTTCCCTTCTTTTTTTCACAGGAAGTCAATTCAAATTCTTCATGGAAAGAAATGCTAATTCAAATTGTTTGTTTTAGCGTACACAGTAAATTCAAGTTGACAAGCACAATAACAAAATCTGCTAAGTAAATTTCGAAATCATAGAAACTAGAAAGCTTGATTCAATTCTTTGGCGGATTTGAATAGCTATGTTAGCTCGATTTCTTAGAAACAAAAATTTTGGCACTAGTTCTTAAATGCAATTTGTAGAAACTTACAATCTTGTTATTGTTTTGACCACTCGTAATGAAATCTGACTTAACCAATCTTACATTTGATCTTCTCCGAAAAAGAAGCCAAGTATCACAGAAATTAGCTTTATGATTAAGAAAGAATGCTAAAAATATGCTGATTTCACATAGCCATAAATGAAAGTATCACAAATTTAGCGCAAAAGGCAGATGACTAATTTAATAAGAAGCTATGATGTAGCAGCAGATGTTCCACATTAAATGGGATACCATTAAATAGAATATTAACCGATGAATGCGTAATCTTGATATGGAATGCATTTGAAGTGAATTAGTTGAATGAAAATCATCTAAAATAAGGCTGAAATATAAATTATTTCACCATTGAAAGGTTTGCTGTTTGAGTTTTTTAAATAAATGAGTCATTCATTTACTACTAAATTCATTTTATTATTTATTAACTCACTACTTGTTCTTGCCCCCATTTTATTTTCTCTCTTCCTTCCACTCATGATAAAGCCTACCTAGCAAATGACTTTGGAATTTTTCGATTAATGATTCACTTTTAGACAGGTCACACAAATTGAGATCTTCGGGTAAAATGAAAATTTTGGAAGCTTTTTTTAAAACCTCGAAATATTCATCAAATCTGTCATTCATTCCAGCAGCAAAACAATCTCTACTAATATCATCGTTAAATTTTTGAATAAATTTTTAGTCACATGAACTTCATAGATCAACATTTATTCCATCCCTTTTGATCTTAAATTTATCTTATTCATTTCATTCACATAATTTTTCCTTTACATTAACAACTTTCATTTCATTCATTATTCAGTTTTTTTTTCAAAATTCCGTTTCATTTCATTCATTATTCAGTTTTTTGTTCATATTTATAGAATAAATGAATTCAAAAAAAAGAAAGAAAAAACAGCTAATAATCGAATTTGACAATTATATGTAATACAAATAGCAAAAACATTTTTCTTGCAACTAAATGAGTTGCTGCGTGGGTGCATACTATTGCTGTCGCTGTGGTTATTGTTGTTGACATTGAATTGACAGGAAGAAAAAAGTGAGGAGCAGATGAATGCTGGAGCCTTTCTCTGGTAGCAGACAGATCTTAAAAATGATTTAATTTGATTTGACTATAAATGTATGAAATGAAACGAATTTTAAAATTAAGCAAAAAAACTACACAAAGATACCTTTTGGATATTTCATTGCTCGTTTTATTTCAAGGTCAACTGAGAGTACCATTTTTTTTTCACAGAACATTTTCTTTCTTTAAATGATAATTTGTTTGAGGAAAGGAAAGATAACAAGGAAATCATTAAAAAATAATGATATTAATTGATGTGATTTATTATCCAGTAATTATTCGATTCTTATAAAAATCATTTTCGCTTCAACTATAATTTTTAGATCTAAAACTTTAACATTTGATTTAGCGGTGATCCGAAAATATGGAGATAATTCTGGAATAGTTTTGATGTAGCAATTCATCATCAAACTGTATAGACCTTCAAAAACTGAGTTATTTAATGCCCTGTCTAAAGAAGGTTCTACTGTTAAAGACTGCGATATTACTCATTAAAAAAATGGCATTGACTAGAAAAACTTTAATTGAAAAATTTAGAAAGACATCCATTATAAAAAAAAAAACTCTTCATATGTAGAATTACAATCCATCAAATGAAATGATGAAGATTGGAAGTAATAACAGAAGGAACTGGAAGAATACTTCGACAATCAGATGCGATCAGCGATAATTTCAAACGTTGTAGTATGGATATCTCTATAGAATGAGCTACCTGTTTGAGTAATACACAATATTTGTCAGCAAAAGAAAAGGAATCATGGTCAATAACAAACTTCAGCAATTATTAAGAGAATTGGTAGAAAAGAAGCTAATAGAACTTCAATAAAACAAAACCAGTATGCCACTAAAAAAAGAATTTCAGTCTTATTTACGGTATAATAACGCAAATTAATTTTTATCCAGTTATGAATTAAAAAAAAAAATGCTTAAGATAATAAAAGAGAGAAATTTTAAAAATATCGAATATCAGATTTATTCCACATTAAAACAGCAAATAAAATAAATAAAAAAAAAAAAAACAACACTATGCCTCAGCTGTGTGTGCTTATTTCTCCACTGCAAAAATCCTCTGAATACTGCGTAGAGAAATGAATTCAATAATTATCAACAAAAAATTCGATGAATTCAATAATAAAATTAAATAATAGCAATTATCATTAATTCGATAATTCAACAAAGTAGGAGAGTTCTAATGTTATATAAAAAGTTAATCATTAATTTTCAGATTTGGTTTAAAGCTAAAATATAAAATTAATAAAATTAAAAAATAGATAAAATTTTAATAAAATTAAAATCAAAATTAAATTGGATAAAATTAAAAACGAAAAAAAAGATTGATAAAATTAAAGAAAAAATCAAAGATTTGGATAAAAATTAACAAACTTTTTTGTAGCACTACATTTGTGACGAAAGATAATCAAAAGATTGTATTTCTTACTGTTAAAAGTAAT